AGCAAATTGTAGCAAAATTATAGCAAAATGTAGCAAAATGTAGCAACATATAGCAAAATTATCGCAAAAATAGCAAAAATATAGCAAAAATATAAAAATATAGCAAAAATAGCAAAAAATATGATAAACTGAACATTAGTGGTTAATATGACATAAAATGTGGTTCGAAATCCTCATTCTTTGCAACAGTTCATTATTACGGGATGTATTGGATATGCCATATTATATTATGTTAAACTTAAATATCTCCTTAGGTATTACATAATGGAATGCGACGAACTCATCGAACAAATGCTCAAAGAATCTGATGCAGATAAAAAAACACATCAACATGTAGATCAAAATGTAGATAAATCTTTAGATAAACATAGAGAAAGACACGCGGCTTTGGTAGCCGGTGGAAAATGTTCTCAATATTTGGGAGAAAATTATACCATCGAAAAAAATGATAACACGACCGACGAAGAGATTAAAAAACTGTACGCACGTTACGAGTCTAGACTGGGAGCTACCATGACTAAAACGATAGGGTCTTCTATATTACAACTATACACAGTCGTAGCTAGTACGTTTCTCCCCATCCCGGCAGACCATCGCCTGTATTTATGTGAATCTCTAGAGAAAGACCCATTCATCGAACACGCTATAAGCTCAGTGAGCTGTGAGTTTTATCATAGATTCGGAATGTTCTTAGCTCCGTTCACCACAGCTATAATAACGGCTAGGTATTGTCAATTTAAACATACATGCCCACTTAATAATAATGGAGACTCAACAGGTGACAGCACAACTGATTGTGAACACACAACAACAAGTGAACGAGGAACAACAGATTGTGGAAACGCAACAACAAGTGAACACACAACAAGAAGTGAAAGAGGAACCACCTGTGAATGCACCACATGTGAATGAGAAAATACTAAAAGCTAGAGTTACTAAGAACGCAAAAAAAATAGCTGCAGGAAGAAAGGGAGGGCTGGCGCGCAAAGCGAAATTAATAAATAATTCAAATATTAATCCGATTAAAACATGGGCACTAGTAGGAGTTGCTGGTATAGCGGCTGTATGGTTCTTTTATAAGACCGGAGAAGAGAAAACATCACCCCCGCCGCAACAAGAAGTTCAATTAGAGGTTAGCCCGCATATAATGCTATAATAAGCATGACTACTCCAGTTACAGACGGTAAAATGTTGGTAAACGCGACGTATCATTCAGCGGTGGTCACCGGCTTGGCCATTGGCTGTGCTCGTATGGCTAAAATGATTACTAAAGCCACACCTCCCAAGCTAGATTTTAATAGTTATGATATTGGTATGGCCATTCTTGATATTGGATTAGCAATGGCAACGAAGGATATGCTCATCAAACAAGGGCTTATCCCGGAAGACATAATGAAGTAATTAAACATTTGAATATATTATATTATCGAACATTTGAACATATTATATGGCAACAATTGCGATGATGGTCGGTGGAGCTATTGTTAATGCTCTAGCTTTTTCGGGGAGTAATTTTCTATTTTCTAGTATGAGGGAATCAAACGCTAAAGAAGTTGAAGAGGAACGTAAACGACATAACGAAGCAATGGAACAACTCCAAGCAGCCCAGTCACAATATACGCAGCAGAGAATGAAGAGATTAGACTTTATTCATGAAAAACTGCTTAAGGAAGGACATTCAATTCAAACATTTAAGGATGTCGAATCTGCCATGCACGAATACTACCTCGTTAATGGGAAAAAACTCGACCCAATACCGAGACCAACAATGAGTCAGTTTTATACACCGTCAGAGGAACAAAAGAACCGCGAGGTCGCATATGTGATTATGGGGTTATCTGCTCAATTGATTTTCAGCTATACAATAGCTACTCATAAATAACCAGAGTGACAGCTGTGGCTATGACCTAGTTTAGAGCGATCTATAAATAGCGTTGGCTGACTGCATAATCAATATCTCACCAGTGTAGATGTGATTTGCATTTAGACAAATGATATGATAGATTTATAACCATGAATAATTGCAAATTTACACTCATGGGGAAGACGACTCTATGTAACCGACGCTGTGTTGATATTTACTGCGGTATACACAATTATTACATCAGGCGCGGACACATAAACTATACGTGTTCTGAATGCGGGATAGGGGTCAAAGGTCGTTATTGTTTATGTAAGAAACACGGTGCTGATAGGGTCAGGAACCAGATTATTTATGCTAGGAAGAGAGATTACATCAATGAGAGGAATAGGTTGGGGAGAATACGTATTTAGATATATGAAAACAACCAATTAGACATTTGTCTCATTTTGCATATACCATTCAAACACAATGGTTTTTGTCAGAGAGTTAAAAGCTATGGCAAAGCAAAGTGGCCTACGTGGATATTCTCGAATGAGAAAAGCTGAATTGATTACCTTACTCGGTTTGGAATACAACAAACCCCAGACTGTTAGAGAACTCAAAGCTCGAGCGAGAAACAGTGGGCTGAGAGGTTATTCTCGAATGAGAAGAGCTGAATTGATCGCTTTACTAGATAATAATCAACCTAATGATGATGATGATGATATTCAACAACAACAACAAGAATTAATATTTGTACCCACATCCGCCGGCGTTGGTAAAGAGGTTGGAAGATGGATATTAATTCCATGGATGTTAACGATATTAAGCCCATCATATCGAGTAAAATTAACGAGGAATTAGATGATTTACATAGTATAAAATACCAGCTGACGATTAAAATGACATTGAGTAAAAGTAACACAGACCATAGCACCGAATATACCGAACCATATTTCCAAGCAATCAAGAAGTTATAACCGAATCCGATACTATAAACTCATCATTAGATACATCAATTCAGAGGATACAGGAAACTTTAGAACGTTGGACTAATAGAGGTTCGGGTTGGTGTGTGGATAAAATAGATAGTTTATATTTAGATATAGCGAATTATATGCCTTTCAAAGGTGGATCTTATATAGATTTACCCCCGTATTATAAGAAGAAAAAAGCCATAATTAACGTAAAAAATAAATGCGATGACTGTTTAAGAATGATGATAAAATCTGCATTTTTCCCCGTAGACAAAAATCCGGATAGACCTTCTAGCTATCCCCAAAATGATGGACTCAACTTCGATGGTATAGACGAACCTACACCAATATCGCAAATTGATAAGGTGGAAAAGCAAAATAATTTAGCTATAAATGTTTTCGGACATTCTAAAGGAATTGTTGTACACAGGATAAGCTCCGCTTCGGAACATATTCCCAGAATCAATTCATTTCTGATCGAAAAAGATGGAAAATATCATTATACATGGATAAAGAGTTTAAACAGGCTACTATACGATCAAACAAAACATGCTAGAAAGAAATATTTCTGTGAAAGATGCCTACATGGGTACAGCAGACAAGAGCTATTAGAAGCCCATAAAGAAGACTGTAGAGGTGTTGGACAGAATGCTATCAGGATCGGGAAAAAATATATTAAAATTTGAACATTATTGTAATCAATGCCAGTACTGTACGTAATTTATGCCGACTTCGAAGCGCTTATCAAACCCATAGAAAATACCAACCATAATAATCAAGATACATGTAGTAGTTTTACGTACAAAACTCAAGAACATATTCCTTGTGGGTTTGGATATATAGTTGTAAGGTATGATGGGAAAACAAACACTCCCGTGATTTACAGAGGACCCGATGCAGCGGGAAAGTTCCTAGAATATCTACAAAATGAAGAGAGAATAATCAGGGAAAAATTATCGTGTAAGAAACTCATGCGTATGACGAGGGATGATTTGGAGGGCCCATAAGAAGTCAACGAGTTGTCATGTTTGTAATAAACCCCTGGATGGGGATTCCGTAAGAGATCATTGTCACGTCACGGGTAATTATCGGGGAGCCGCACATAACGAGTGTAAACTAAAAATGAATTCTCAAACAATACCCATCCCCGTTTTGTTTCACAACCTTAGGGGATACGATTCACATCTCATTATGCAAGCTATCACAAAGACCGACGACCGTTTAACATGCATTCCTAACAATATGGAAAAATACATATCGTTCTCGTTGACTAAACCTATACATTATAGGGACAAGGATGGGAAATCTAGAATAAAGCAAAGTAATGGGCTTAGATTCATAGACTCCGTACAGTTTCTGTTATCTTCCCTGGACAATTTAGCTAATGGGAACAATCCCGATGACTTTGCGATAACAAATAAATATACCGATAAGATAACTCGTCATTTGTTGCTGAGAAAAGGTGTATATCCTTACGAATATATGGATGATTGGTCTAGATTCGAAGAAACTGAATTACCACCCCTCGAATCATTCTATAGTAACTTAACAGAATCTAAAATAACAGATGCCGATTATGAACACGCTCTGACGGTGTGGGATAAATTAGGTTGTAAGAATTTAGGCGATTATCACGATCTGTACTTAAAAACCGATGTACTGTTACTCGCTGATATATTCGAGATATTTAGAAAGACATGTTTAAAACAATACGGCTTGGACCCGGCATGGTACTATTCCAGTCCCGGACTATCGTGGGATGCATTGTTGAAGAAGACCGGCGTAGAACTAAAATTACTCACAGATTACGATATGTACTTGTTTATTGAGAAAGGATTAAGAGGTGGTATATCGATGGCAGCGAAAAGGTATTCTAAGGCTAATAATAAATTAGTGGAAGGATACGATCCGAGTAAACCCGACACGCACATATTATATCTCGACGCTAACAATTTGTACGGATGGGCTATGAGTCAACCTTTACCCGCGGGTGGTTTCGAATGGGTCGATGATATCAATGTTATTAATATCCATAATAATGATGAGAATAAAGGGTACATACTAGAAGTTGACTTGGAATATCCAAATTCCTTACATAAAGACCATAACAGATATCCGCTAGCTCCCGAAAGATTAATGGTTAATAAAGACTGGATGTCGGAATATCAACACTCCTTGAGATGGGTATTAGTAGGTTAGCTAACGTAGAAAAACTTGTACCAAATTTGATGGATAAGACAAAATATATAGTTCACTACAGAAATCTCCAGTTGTATCTATCCTTAGGTATGAAACTTTAGAAAATACACAGAGTTCTAAAGTTCGATCAAAGCCCTTGGATGGAGCCCTATATAAGGTTGAACACAGATTTAAGAAAGATAGCTACCAGCGATTTCGAAAAGAACCTGTATAAGCTCATGAATAACTCAGTATTTGGTAAAACTATGGAGAATCTAAGGAAGCGTGTTGATGTTAAATTAGTCAGATCTAATGAGGAAGAAAGACTCAGGAAACTTATAGCCAGTCCGGCTTTTAACAGAAGCAAGATCTTCGATAACGACTTAGCCGCGTTGCATATGCAGAAGAGTAATATAAAATTCAACAGACCGGTGTACGTCGGTCTGAGTATTCTCGACTTGTCAAAACACTTAATGTATGACTTGTATTACAACGAACTTAAGAAGCAATACGGCGATAGATGCGAGGTGCTATATACCGACACAGATTCTTTGTTGATGGAAATACAAACCGAGTATGTGTATAAAGATATGGCAGAAAAAATAGATATGTACGACACGAGCGATTACCCTAAAGAATATCCACTGCACAGCGTAGTAAATAAAAAGTAGTTAGGTAAGATGTAGGATGAATGTGCTGGGACCCTTATAGCGGAGTATGTAGGATTAAGACCTAAGATGTATTCTATAAAGAAGTCCGATAATGGAGAGATAAGAAAAGCTAAGGGCGTTAAGAAGTATGTTGTAAAAAAGCATATCAAGCACGAACAGTATAAAGAATCATTATTCAACGGTAGAACGTTCAAACACGAGATGAACTCTTTAAGAAGTTACAATCATAGGATATATGGATTAAGAATGAACAAGACATCATTATCCCCCTTAGATACAAAGAGATGGATTGATAATGATGGTGTAACTACCTATGCTTATGGTTATGGTGGTAATACCGTACCGCCGTGAACTATGAACAACTCTTCTCGTACAAATGCCCTACCCGGTCCATCTTGAAGATAATAAAGAATAGGCTCTCCTTCTTTCGTAACCAATCGACTAATGTTATATATCTTAAGAGACCATATGGGATCGGTTGCGCGACGTAGGCCTCCTTCGAGTTCACTGGGCTGGTATAAATATCTTACCCTTACTCTATCCGGAAGTTTTCGTTCTTTGCCTCTCCTCGGTGCTGAAGATTCGGAAGTCACGGATTTCATTTTAATAGCATCTGATGGTTTCTTCCCTATTAATCTCGTTACTTCATTATTCAGCGCTGATACAACGGCTGATAATCGTGTCACCCATTCGGTTGATCTCAATCGCTCGGATTTCATTTCGATCCCATACTGATAGCCAAACAAACGTTCCGCTAATGTCCTGTTAAATCTTTCGACGATAGCTTGACTGCGGTGGGCCTCTCTTTCACCACGGACGATTTCGACATTGTGCTTTGTTAACAGTTTAGTTACCAATCCCATAAACTCACGACCAGGATCTACTTGAAATAGCTTAGGCCATTTTAGTTGGTCCGCATTTATATACGCGACTCAGTGCATTAGCTATTTCTGTTGATTCTTTCGAGGTTAATGGCTCAGCCTCTTTGTATCGACTAGCCACATCCACTACTGTTAAAGCGTATTTATACGTTTTGCGTTTTACCTTATCGTGGGGAAGAAACAAGAGGTCAGCCTTATGAACTTCATTCGTCGTAAAAATATCAAACTTCTTCCTCGGAATATAACGCGGTGCCGGTAAATATATTTGCCACATCGTTTGTTTCTTTAACCAATCCTTGGCCACATCTTTAGATACCTTAGCCGCGGTGGCTAATTTTTTTATTGCTCCTACACCTTTCCAATATCCTCGTGGGCTATAGTAAATTTTATCCATTATTAATTAATATTGATGTTTCGTTTAATACAACTTATGACTATCGTTGAATCGCAAAGTCATTTACGCATAAAAAATTCCCTGTGTAGTAGCAGTATAGGTATATGAATCCTGCTCCAGTGGAAGTGAGCCAGAACCATCATTACCTATACTACTTGGCCGCATGTCACCGTGCTGCATGTAGTAAGGGACACCATGATGTTGTGACTCTCCTGTTAGACAAAGGTGTAGATATCAGCGTGGTAGAAGATAATGTCCGCACTGCTCTCCATGCTGCATGTGGTACTGGACACCATGATGTTGTGACTCTCCTGTAAGACAAAGGTGCAGATATCACGGTGGTATATGATAATAGCCGCACTTCTCTCCGTGCTGCTTTTAGTAAGAGACACCATGATGTTGTGACTCTCCTGTTAGACAAAGGTGCAGATATCAACGTGGTAGATGATAATAGCCGCACTTTTCTCCGTGCTGCTTTTAGTAAGAGACACCATGATGTTGTGACTCTCCTGTTAGACAAAGGTGCAGATATCACGGTGGTAGATGATAATGTCCGCACTGCTCTCCATACTGCATGTAGTAAGGGACACCATGATGTTGTGACTCTCCTGTTAGACAAATGTGCAGATATCAACATGGTAGATGGTAATGGCTGCACTGCTCTCCATGCTGCATGTGGTACTGAACACCATGATGTCGTGACTCTCCTGTTAGACAAAGGTGTAGATATCAGCGTGGTAGAAGATAATGGTGGCACTGCTCTCCATTATGCATGTAGTAAGGGACACCATGATGTTGCGACTCTCCTGTTAGACAAATGTGCAGATATCAACATGGTAGATGGTCATGGCAGCAATGCTCTCCATGCTGTATGTAGTATGGGACACCATGATGTTGTGACTCTCCTGTTAGACAAAGGTGCAGATACCACCGTGGTAGATGATAATGGCCGTACTGCTCTTCATACTGCATGTGGTACTGGACACCATGATGTTGTGACTCTCCTGTTAGACAAAGGTGCAGATATCATGGTGGTAGATGATAATGGCCGCACTGCTCTCCTTACTGCATGTGGTACTGGACACCATGATGTTGTGACTCTCCTGTTAGACAAAGGTGCAGATACCACCGTGGTAGATGATAATGGCCGCACTGCTCTCCTTACTGCATGTGGTACTGGACACCATGATGTTGTGACTCTCCTGTTAGACAAAGGTGCAGATATCAACGTGGTAGATGATAATGGCCGCACAACTCTCCATTATGCATGTGTTAGTGGACACCACGATGTCATGACTCTCCTGTTAGACAAAGGTGCAGATATCAACATGGTAGATGATAATGGCCGCACTGCTCTCCTTACTGCATGTGTTACTGGACACCATGATGTTTTGACTCTCCTGTTAGACAAAGGTGCAGATATCAACGTGGTAGATGATAATGGCCGCACTGCTCTCCAGTATGCATGTAGTACTGGACACCATGATGTTGCGACTCTCCTGTTAGACAAAGGTGCAGATATCAACGTGGTAGATGGAAATGGCTGCACTGCTCTCCATTATGCATGTGTTAGATTACATCATGGCGTTGTGACTCTCCTGTTAGACAAAGGTGCAGATATCAATGTGGTAGTTGGTAAAGGCCGCACTGCTCGCCATTATACATGTGTAAGGGGACACCATGATGTTGTGACTCTTCTGTTAGACAAAGGTGCAGATATCAACGTGGTAGATGATAATGGCTGCACTGTTCTCCATTATGCATGTGTTAGATTACATCATGGCGTTGTGACTCTCCTGTTAGACAAATGTGCAGATATCAACATGGTAGATGGTAAAGGCCGCACTGCTCTCCATGCTGCAAGTTGTACTGGACACAATGGCGTTGTGACTCTCCTGTAAGACAAAGGTGCAGATACCAACGTGGTAGAGGGATAATGGCAACACTGATTCATACTGCATGAAGTAGTGGACACCATGACGTTCGGACTCTTTGGTACACTTCGCGAAGTAAGACCTGTTTTATTACAATACAGGTCTTGATTATCATCCGAACGTTTTGTGTGGGCGCCACCATTTTGACACAAGGAAAGCACCAAATTTGGGGAGATTCCGTTTTACAAATGTGAAAATGGTGCACTGAGAAAGATAAGAGAAAGTTATGTAATTAAATACTTTCAAACTATATTAAAGGGCTTCAAATAATTGAATTATTTGATTCAATTATTGTACAATTTCCTACCACTAAAATAACTTATTTCTGTATGTGTGGTACACCGGCCTGCCCCACAAAATGTTATGCGTCTTACTGTGACGTCACAATATGTTAGTTTGCACTGTGACATGATATGTGGTCTTCACACCTGTGGGTAAGAAACCCGTTTTAGATAACTGGTATCAAACCTATGTTTGAGATCGAATTCCACGCCCGTGATTGGCTACTCCATGGTGATGACCTACGGTCAGATTATGACGGACTACTTTTCTGATCATAAGTCATTGATAAGATACTCTCTTGTACTTACACAGGTCTGAGCACAATGCATTTGTAAAACAGTTTATGTCAAATATGTCTACATATGTCTATCTATATACAAATTTGTCTGAACTACTTGTCTGAAAGATTTCAGTGTCACCCTGATGCTGCATGACCCAGTTGCCATCATAGAACCAGACAGGTGGTCTTCTTTCACGACTGGATTGCCGTGGAACAAATGGCTTCACATGTGGATCAAGAGCCATGTTCTGTTCCTGATTTGTATTTACAACATTGACATCATTGGAAATAGCTGACGCAGTATTATCTGTCTTCGGAAGATGAAGTGACGGAAACATCACAGTTTCCATGACCACTCCCAACAGAGAAAACTTCCATGTCCTCACAATCACTGTTGTCCTCATTGAGGGATGATCGGATTCACTTATCTCACGTTGACTTAGTTGACTTTGCCTTGGTTCCTGCTCATGGGTAACTGGAAGAGACGTGTAAGGAAGCAGCATATTACTGTGCAAAGTTTTTGTGGGGCCTTGTCCATCTTCTCTTTTAACATAGGTGAATAGCCTGTACTATCATGTCTAGTAGCATTGTATGCATGGATGAGTGCTGGAACATAAATTGTCCAATTTTCCTTCTGGTTGTCCTCCAAAGTACCTAGCATTTTGAGGAGAGTCTGATTGAACCATTCTACCATACCATTGCTCATAGGATGATATGGTGAGGTGCAGTCTTCACTGTACCTGCAAGCTTGCACAAATCTCTAATGACTTTAGATTCAAAATCGTGTCCTTTGTCACTATGCACCGAGCTGGAAATCCATAATAAAGGGAAAAAATCCAACAATGCCTTTGCTGTTGTGTTAGCAGTCTGGTTTCTGGTAGGGATAGCCTGTGCAAACCTAGTAAAATGATCAGTGATAACTAGGATATTACCACAGCCCGTAGCTTCCTCTATCTAGTGAGAGATAATCTATACAAACCAACTCCATTGGTTAACAAGTGGTCACATTAACTAATGGAGCAGAAACTTGGTTTGGATATTTTTTTCTTCTGATGAATCTGCCACAACATACCTTTCTATCCACATCACTGGTTAAACCAGGCCAATAGAATCGTGATTGTGCTAAATCCAATGTTCTATCGCATCCTTGGTGTCCCATATCATCATTCAGTGCATCAAGAACAAGTTTTTGCCATTGTTTTGGTAAGACAAGCTGATCTCCTAAACTGGTTTGATACCACCTCTTCCTGTCGAGAACACCATCTCTCAAAACAAACTTGGACCATTGTCCCAAGAGTTAATGCACACAATCAGTCGCCTTTCTGAGGTTTTCTCTCATTCAAAACAAAACCTGCTACCCTAGCTGTATCAGGATCCATTCAGTACATGTGAATGGACATATTGTTAATGGACCCGTTAACAGAGTATATGTGGATGCTATTAGATATGGTTTGTTTGTGACGGTATTTCAGATACATTTTAGATTTGGCCTTCTTGTCCAGAGGTCTCAAAGTATAAGATATACCAGTGCCAAACATGAATGATATCTGCTCAGAAGTTACAGCCAACGGATGTTGCTATTTACACTTGAATCTGCGTACATTTGACACCGATATTGGATTTAACAAGGTTTATACGTTATAAGATGTGTTATGGCGGTGCCATTTAACACGGAGTATGTATGCTTTGTTCACAGGTATCTTCATAGACTGACTTTAATATTTTTATTTGAAGTTGATTGTTCTATCACTTAGCTCAAGATACATTTGTTTGTCATGAAACGTACACTCAGTACACATAATTATTGTTTAATACCACACTCTATTGTGATAACTGCTTATTTTGTAGAAACGGTAAATGTTCTATATTACTTTGTACTGTATATGTAAAACTTAAAGTCATAATTCTTGTTGTAAATGTTAATTGATGAAACACCCATATTGCACAATGTGTCTTACAAAAAAATGTACACCTGGCTATCTGCTTTCGTTTTGTTGAAAACATTTAAAACCTTGCAATTGACTGATCCATCTACTGGGTGAGGACAACAATGGTGGCTCCCGCACAGCGAACAGTTTACTGTTGAACGAAATCCGGATCTCTGATTCGACATAATATTTTGCCACCTTTCCGGGGTACAATACATGTGGTAAATCATTAGATCATGTTTACTGTGTGATATACGTTTGCCTTTGATGCGTTTGCTTTAAAAGAGTACCGATGTGTAGAGCTGACAAGTCCTGTAGCATCCACAAGAACCATGTGACTGGCGGCTCCAGGCCTCGCCTTTGTCCCCACTAGGTTTTACGGGCCACAGTTTCCACAGAGGAAGTTGTTATATGTGTATGTTTGAATGTGGAGTGTATACTTACATCTGTTGATCAGTATATTAGGTGCACTTCAACTTGACTTGAGGTACGGGGCTTTAAGTTGAGTGAATTGCTTGTTGTGTAATTGAATGTACAGCTTGTGATCTGATTGATTCAAGGGAGTGGCTTTTGTGTTTCAGGGAAAGTAGGGAGGTTTTCGGCAAAGCATTTTAAAACACGTGTGGTTGTGGTAGAAGGGCAGCGGTGTTTGTAATTTGGTGGTGAAACAGCCCTACTTGCCTCCTCCAGTTGTATCTATGCTGTTACTCTCTGTGTACAAATTGTGCCCATGTCCATGTTCAATAATACCATATTGCTTTGCCGACATTATTGCTAGGATGCCCTTTGTTATTGATTATGTAAGCCGGTGTTGTGGGAAATGAATTATTCTTAGTGTAGGATTAATATATTTTCTTAACTGCAGTGAGATTGTTGTGTAATCCATTTTAATTGTGCCAGTAGTTTTGAGGTATAACCCTTTGCTTCCCCATCACTGGTAACAAAGTGTCACACGGGGAGTGAAGACAGGTGTCCCTGGCGAGGTCCGTCAGCTGTTTGGGGGTTGGGCTTCGGGGGCTCAGCTGGGGCACCTAAATGAATAAGATGAGATTGAGGTATTTGCAACCTCCACTTTCGCACAAGGGGTCTGCTCTTAACTGACTCTCCAGGCTCTCCGTCTTCTGCGTTGGTTGGCTATGGCATAGTTGGTTGTTTGTTTATTGTTTAACGACGCACTCAGCAATATTCCAGCTATGTAAATAATCGAGTCTGGACCAGACAATGATTAATATCATGAGCATCGATCCACGCAATTGGGATCGACGACATGCATCAACCAAGTCAGCGAGCCTGACTTCCCGATCCCATTAGTCGCCTCTTACGACAAGGATAGTCACCTTTTACGGCAGGCATGGGTTGCTGAAGACCTATTCTACCCCGGATCTTCTCAGGTCGGCTATAGCATGGAATTGTTCAGGATCGATTACTGCTCTCTTAAAATGTATACAATGTAATTCCTATTTTTGCATTAGGTACACATACTTACCATCGTTTCTTGTTATATGCTCCTCGATATCAAGCATTACGAATGCGATATGTTGTTGTTGTTGTTGTTGTTGTTGTTGTTGTTGTTTTTACTCACTCCTTATTGTTTTGTCATACAGCTGTTTAGTTTGAGTCTTGGTGTTTTATACAACTGTCTCAGACATTCTTTGCTTTAGTACATTTTAAGATAATCCATGCTTTCCTATCAAGTTGTATATCTATGTTTAATTTTACTAAGGACACTTGTATGTTGACACTGCTTGTATCACGCATTAAATTGTATTTTGTCTTGACAGCTGTTCAGTTTTGATTGATGACCCAAAATGTGACTGCCCCGGGTGCAGAGAATGATCATTTGGTTTTGGAATAGTGCAGCACTGTGGTATACGCAACGTTCCTGTGGCATCTCCCCAGATGGTTATTGTACAGGACATGGAAAGTCAGCCATGGCAGGAGTACTCCTGAGCGGCGTCAGGCAACAAAAAATATTTGTTTAGGTACAAGTGTGGGTGACAGGTGCTTCCAGTAGGTCAGGGCATGTTTTCTCTTTTCGCGAACACCTGGTGTCATCACTGATTTTCAGTGATCCATTCACATAATTTTCACCGCTATTTTGCCTTTTACCCCCAATGGAATCTGTTTGGGCGGATAATCGAGTTTATTATCTGGCATGCCACTGTTTAACACAGATACTCCACTCAGACACAGCATACTGACTCCAAACTGACCAGTCCTTGTCTTGTGCCTTGAATGCTGAGTACCCGCTTGGGTAACAACAAGTACCACCTTTAACGTCTTTTCGGTATGACGTGGCCAGGGATCGAATTACCAACCTCCAAAATTTATGGAACTTGAATTTATCCCCCAAAACTTATGGTTGTCGTATCAGAGGGTTTGTATGTTGTACCAAAACGGATCACGGATCGTTGCTCATATTATCAATCACCGGTCAATTATTTACGACGTCATAAAGCTGGAATATTGCTGAGTAGTGCCTTAAACAAAATAAAACAGATTTCCGAATGGAAATATAAACTTGTTTTATGTTTTCCATACATATATCATGAAGAGAGTGAGAAGGTACAGTGACTCGTCCACAAAGATATTAGCATGTTACACGTGAAAGTTCCATTAAAATCTCTTCAAAGATAGGTACATTGCAGAACCAACCAAATGTACAACCAAATCCCCCTCTCTAAGATTAACCATAGTCTTTGGTTAGTTGGTTGGTGTGTTGTTTTACGCCACACTCAGCAATATTCCAGGTATATGACGGCGGTCTGTAACTAATCGAGTCTGGACCAGACAATCCAGTGACTGACATCATGAGCATCGATCCACGCAATTGGGATCGATGACATGCATCAACCAAGTCAGCGAGCCTGACCACCCGATCCCGTTTGTCGCCTCTTACAACAAGCATAGTAGCCTTTTATGATAGCCATACTCAATGGAGGACATTTTCTTATTCACAGAAAGTATTTGAGACAAGCGGAATTAATACCATGTGAATTCTCAATCACTCAAGGGGGCACGGGGGTGTCCTCACAAAACTTCCACATACTAAAACAACAATTATCATGGCCCAGTGCATGCAGTGCTGACTGCATATTACCTATTAGTGGAATGGAACAGCCCAAAATAAATAACAAGAAGAATGTATAAGATACGTATAAAACTTCACTTATTCATAGCACATTAAACAATTATAGGACATTAAAATGCAAGTTTACATTGTTTTGCTCAATAGTCATAGCACAATAAAATGTCACATAGAAAATAGCAAAAGCTCATTAAGTCCAATGAGGTACATGGCGGTCAACAGCAACCAAGAACTCCATAGGTGTCTACTGTCCTTGTCTGTCCTGGTGTCGGAGAAGAAGAAGCCTGTTGTCAGTCGTCTAAGGCGCCACAATTCGCTATGCAGAGTTGCGGACACTCCAGAAACCTATGATTGTGGTTTCGAATCTCGGATCGCCCCGATTATTTTTCGAGGTTAGTCAGCACCGTACCCATGTTCGTGGGTTCCCCTAAGTTTTAAACGTCTGTGACCTGTATCACGTCGTGCCTTCCTCCCACATTAAGATCACACGCCGTGTTATAATTAGATTACTGTTCAAAGTGGCGGTAAAAACAACACACTCACCCACATAACCAGTCAAAGGGTTTGCTTGAATGTTTGCTATCTTAGATGAGAACTAAGTTGAATTATGCCAAAGCACTTCATTTTTTAACTTCGTACACCACTATCCACACAGACAAAATTAAGGGAAAACCTCATTCCTTGATCCATATTTGTCATAATATTGAGACCACATGTATAGCTACATATCTGTCTTCAAAGGTTCATGAAAATTTGTCAAAAATGACAAGAAATGTCATCCGAATTTTACTGAGAAAACAATGTTGAACGTCCTCACAGATAACGTGTTTGTGACATTTGGCGACAAGACGATTAGACAAGAAGTAGGCATCCCCATTGGCACCCATTGTGCTCCCCATCTGGCGGAACTGTTTCTTATGCATATAAATCGGAATATTTCTTCTCGGATTGGCAAAATCAAAACGGGGCAATTTGGCAAAGAATTAACTAGCTTCGGGTGTATCAACATGATATGGTAGATGCAGAGCATCAAAGTTCCCTGAGTCCCATATGGCTCAACCCTGAATCCCGAATACTACTCAACACAAGTCCCCTAGGCACTGAGAAAGGGGTGCCATTTGAAGTTAAATTTCTGAAAAGAAAATCGAAAACACAAAATATATCATGGAATTTCTTTTAGATTCACTATTATTATTTTTAAAAGGTTGAATCTGTGTACCAAATACGATTTTATTTGCGTTCCGCATACCACACTGCTGACTCCCGAAAACCCTCTGAATAGACGCCAATCCTGCGTTCCAAAGGGGGTTGGCAGCGTCATAATTACCATGTTACTGGGGTAAGGAAGTAACATTTGATTCATGGCAAATTGAACGGGAGAAAATGTAGCTTGAATATTCTACACGGAGCTCCTGAACGACAGAAGTGAAAAGAAGCTGCATGATTATATTTACAATAAATGAGACAACGCTGGTGTGGAAAAAATAATATTTATCACGAGTCTTTCTTAATACAGTGGCTCCGTGTGCATAGGGTAGCTGTGTTTTTAAACAGTAAATCGGACGGTGTGGAAAGCAGCACTTTCTTGCACATAAATAAATGTGTGGAAAAAATCTAAATGGCAGATGAACGCACTGACATAAGGATGCAGGCTAAAACGGCACCTCAGCAAAACGTCACCGATTTCTCTGGCGAAAACGGCACCGCATTTGGTGAAAACGGCTAAAACGGCACCTCTATTTTTAATAACGATAAGAACGATTTTGTAGTAATATATAGGGTCCACTGGGTCCACTGTCACAGTTATCACATGATACAGCATGTTGATTTCTTCTGACATTCTTCTCGCATACTACACATCGAAAGACCATATAAATAATTGTGATCTGACAGCATCATGTTTGGCCTCTTAAATACAGTTTCAGCTTAAATTAAGTAAAAGTACTTAAAACTTCAACGCGTATAGTGTTTTCACAATAAGTTAACTACGCCTCCCAATCGGAGTCGGTGAGTACATTGGAGTAGGGGGCTAATTTCTTATTTGTTTTATTTCACAATTAGTTGTGTTTGTAAGAGACGATGTGAGTTTAATTTCTATTATTTTTCTTCAAAGCATGTTATGTTTTCTCAATAAGTTGAGTTGCGTATAAGCTAAGTTGGATTATAGTTGGAGTAAAGGCTAATTTCTAATGTAAACTTGTTTTAACATCTCACAATTATTGGCGCTTGCAAGTTACAATGTAAGTTTAATATTATTTATTTGACCAAGGTAAAACAAAAAAATAAGGTGCCATTTTCGCTCAAGTTCGTGGTGCCGTTTTCGCCAATCGGTGACGTTTTGCTGAGGTGCCGTTTTCGCTATAACCCCTGACATAATATATCATCACAATGTGTTTGTACTTGACACAATGAGACATTTGGATATAAACATGTAAATGCATATAATAATAATAATAAGGACTCCATATGACAAAATACGTCATGCAACATGGGAGGTAATTTGGCACAACAATGAACACCCCGCGCGCTGGTATCAGGGAACATGTTACATGCTGACAACAAGGTACCGCTTGTGATGTCATATGTCAGCATGGTTGTACATGTTGGTACATTCTATGAAGTCAGGAAGTAGAAAATAAGTATTTATTCATTTCATTTCATTTTATAGTTTCAATCTCGAATTATAATTTGAATATCTCTTTCATATTTTTTCACCCAGTAAATTTAAATGTGCAATATAGGTAAATATTCTGGGTACATACATGGCATCCCTGTTCTGTGAATATATTCCTTAATTGCGAAAATGTTTTTCAACAAGTAGATCAGTATGTATAAAGTAGCCTTTATATAGTTATCGAATCAACGTGGTAGGTACACTGGTCCTAAATTGCGAGTAGAATAACTGTTGCCAAACAAATTCCAGTTAGAAATCATATTTCGAATAATATTTTGATTTTACTTTTTAATGAAACCACTAAGGGGAACAACTCCTCATCACTTCCGCCCTAGAAGTTTTCATAGAAGAAATGGAAACTAAAACTGCAGCTAAATTGTCAATAGAACAATTAGAAAATCTAAACCAAGCAATTCGACTGACTCAGAAGTTGAGGTCAAGCGTTTCAAGGGTGTTTCATGATCTCAGTGATGGAACTGACAACACGAAGGGAAATGAAAAGACATTCCTGTCAGACATTCAAAAGTCAATCGTGTCTGTGACAAATGATTTCAGGTGACACAAAGAAAATTCTCGGTTATACATACGTCAATCATTACCAAACATCAAATAATTCAGTTGGTGCGCGTAGAAAGCATATTTACGAATTTTAACCAGCGCAGTGGGGCCTGCGCAGTGTATTCTCCCAAATATGATAGTGTTATTCACGTTATTTTTAAACATTGTTTGGGCCTAAAGTTGGTTATCGTATGGATATCGCACTCCAGGAACGCTCAATTTTCACTATTCAGTTGTCACTGTGTCAGTAGTGTGCTGTATCAGCTGTAAATAGTGTCTGCATAGGAGCCATAACGGTCGCATTTGACATTGCGAATTCACAATTTCTACCACGATTAATGTTTTGATTAGCTGTGGTCTGGGTAAGTAAACGTGAGGGGAAGAATGCAGTATACCGGACACCTTGCTCCATTTTGGTAAGGGATGTGCACAAGCTCATTCCTTTGTAACTGTTTCTATGTTTTTCAGACGACACTTTTGTTGCCTTGCTTAAACAACCACTTGTATTAAATACTTTCCTAAGTGAATGAAATCTGTAATTACCAGAGTAGAGACAAAATACTTTATAAGTAGCATCAAACAAACATGGCGGTATGGTGTCCGGAATGCATGTACACCAAACATGAGTATGGGTTGTTTGACCAGAAAGGGGTACCTAAGCCTAATAATGGTAAATGGGTGCTTGAAAGGAAAGGGGATCCAAGGGCTAATGATAGAGTTGGGAGTATATGGAACCGTAAAGATCAAAGGGGCACTCAGTGAAGCGGGACCCACAGCCTGAGCCAATATAGCACTATAAGCTGCACCCCATAAACTGCATTGTAGCCAAATAAACACTAAGCATAACACAAATATTGGTACCGCTCGATATTTCGTTTTGTACCCAGGGTACATTTTGAGGGTAAACCATTTGAAAGTGACCCAAGAACCGGTTCTTGATGACAGCTCCTGTGGCCTATGATAACATCTGACTGCTATACCCAAACACAGCATGGCTCACTTCACTTGTGACCCCTCCTGGTATTATAATAAGCTGATCCAGTTTCAAGCTTTTGAATTTTAGTTTGAAATGATATATTTTTCATTTAAATTACTTGTTTAGTGAATACCAACAATACCAAAATATTCTTTCTACTGTGATATTCTCGGACGTTTTAGTAATTGATATAGCTAAACATGTCCTCAAGAATTTTGTTCATACTGTTTATATTTCAAAATCACAGCACAGGAACTGCACAGATTCAACTTTTAAATGTTCAAGAGGGGCCCACTGTTAGAAGTGTGCTTTTTTAACAATGAACCAGTGCTATCATTAGGATTTACAAATAAATGGTACATAGTAATCATGGTAATATCCTTTAAGTTATGTAGGAATATTTCCACTGTAAATCTCAGGAAAGTAAGGTTTCTTGACTGTCAGGTAGTGTGTGTTCATTCAGCATGCTATGGCCCTGTGTCCCATGTATACAGGCTAGAAAATACTTTTAGAATAAGCCACTAACTGACTAGGAACCCATCATACAAATTAATCTGGTTGATAGCAAATTACCTTGTCACCCAGGCTCATAAACATGGAGAATTTCACTCCCAAACAGTGACAAGTATTTTGTTGCATATACTAAAAATGAAAATAAAGAATAATATTAACTATTGTGACCTTGAATACTCAAGTGGTCTTTAACGTTTTGGGGCTTATCATAGCATGACTCATAATTTTGGTTCAGACATATTCAAGAATTGGCTACAGTGTCACACAAAGGTATGGAATATCTGAATATTTGATAATATGGTGAAATAAAAGTTCTATCAGTGTGATCTGGAATATTATTTATCGTGTTACTGTTTCAGTGAACTTGAGAAGGTAGCTAACAACTTGAACCCAATACTCCAGACCCCGAACAGTGCCAACGTTTGTTTGGATCCTGCCATTGACAAGCTGCCTGTGTACTCACAGCTACTACAAGCATACAAGTGGACAAATAAAGTAAGAGATGACAGTTGTATTTAGGAATCTATCATGGATCTATCGCTAGCTTACAAGTTTACCATTCCTCCAGAAAAGCTGAATCAGCATGATAAAGGACATGGGATTTAAAATACCAAAACAGTTGCAGTTGAGTGCCTTGAAATGTAACGGTCGTGGTAAATGTATTATTATTAATTAAACAGTCAAATACATGTACATGTGAGGATACAATGGTGAACAGCATGAATAGAAACACTGATAGTTCTTTGACAAGTTTGACATGTTTAACAAATCGTTTCATTTATTCATAGTAATGTTAATAGTGGTGATGTAGAAAATAGCATTTGCTATACAGAGTTGCATCCTTTGGTATTCAAGGGCCCTACTTTCAACCATTGCCGAACTAGGTTGGGATTTTGTGGCTTAATCATAGCGCCACCAGTTGCTGTTACGAGTTATGTCCCTTCTATGTCCCTCTTCTTGACCAATCAGATTCCACCTCTTATATTACTTGCAATTATATTGCTTTGAAAAAATGGCAGCACCCAGTTTAGCTCATCTGATCGATAATTGAAATCTGTATTGTAATAAAATGGGTCATACCTCGCTAAGTCCATCAAGTGACTTGAGAACTTTGATTAAAATTCTGCAAAGGCTTGGGAAATAGCTGTCAATGCCCAGTTGGTTGTGCACATGCTTGGCAAATCCTGCAGTTAACTGACTGTAATTTGCATGGCTGTCACAATGTTATTTATGAATCGTTAGTTGATTTTGTTATGCAATTTTGATTGGACTTTGAAAAGACTTGTTTGTCCAACAAAGTTATGACTCCAGAAATCCAGCCTAGTTTGGCAAGGGCAGTAACTTGACTTCTAAAGTCAGTTAACTCCCTTGCCTCAGGAACATGGGAACCTATGATTGTAGGTTCAAAGCAGCATCACGCACAACCAACTCACTTGCTCTTATCATGTAGCTGTGTGCTACAGAGATGTTCCAGGGTATAATTCTTTCACGATGTGTTCCTTCTACAGACAGCTGAGCATGCAGGGGCTGCAGCCGGCATCCTGCAGATGAACACACTGAAGCGGTCTCCACTCCCAGGAGTTTCTTCAGGGATAAAGGGGATCAAGAGATCTAGAGCTCTTCCTATGCCCTACAATGTCCCTGCATCGTTAGTGCTTTGCGTTTAGTCTTCTATCATGTTACATATGTGACACAGATACATCAATATGCATTGTCTGTGTCTGAAAAGTTAGTGTTCACAACACAGTGAACAGAACATTTCAATACTTTGAATCAGTCCAAGCCAAATAAGGTTAAGTATCAGTTTGACACTGATCCAAAGTATTTTAAAGTCATAAACAGTGAATGTGGAGAATCCATTGGAAGTCATAAACAGTGGGGGGCACGGGTGGCCCAGTCATCTAAGGCGCCACGATTCACTATGCAGAGTTGCATCCCTTGGGCATATCAGAAACTTTTGATTGTTGGTTCGAATCCCGGTTCACCCCGATTATGCTTCTAGGTTTGTCAGCACCATATCTGTGCTCGTGGGTTTCACGGAAGTGTTAACGTCTGAGACCTGCATCACTTCGGGCTTTCTTCCCACATTATGCTGACACGCCATGATATAACTGGAATACTGTTAAAAGCGGCGTCAAATCCAACTCAATCACTATATTAATTCAATTCTGTCATCAGTTAATACATTGGATACTGGAGACCACGGAATTTTGTGGAAGTTATTTACATAACGAGAACTGATCCTGCGTGATGGGGTATGGTCAGTTTACTCTCAAGACACTGGACGAAATATTCTGAAACACCTTCAGTTTACTGATTGTCATGATAGGTTTATGAACATCTATTACTGCCAAGGCATAAATTAGCAACCATGATGTTAACAGCACTCAGTCCAATAGTTCAGGGAAGATGGTTGGTATAGTTTTTGTTTGTTTGTTCCACAGGGTCGTGGACAACTTGATAGCAGGTCTGGATCGCCAGTTTCCGGAGATGGGAATCGCAGTCACCAGGCCGCTGGGGAGTTGTGCCATAGTGCAGGTAGGTGGATGGATGGCTGCACGAGCAAGCCTGCCCTGCCTGGCGCAGATTACTTTCTGTGGACGTGATATTCATGACTTTTATTAAAGTTATTCGTAGCTGTTCCATGATGGAATAATTGAGTCATATCTCACTACCCCATACGGAGTGGGATGGAATAGGTCCCCAGCAATCTGTTTTAGAGGAAGTAAATGGGATCACGTTGTCCGGCTTGTTGACTTGGTTGGCTGTGTGTCCTAACCTGACATCATGATGCCTTGCTCTTTCAATCACTGATTTGTCGGGGCGGTCGGGTAGCCTAGTGGTTAAAGCGTTCGCTCGTCACGCCGAAGACCCGGGTTCGATTCCCGACATGGGTACAATGTGTGAAGCCCATTTCTGGTGACCCCCGCCGTGATATTGCTGGAATATTGCTAAAAGCGGCGTAAAACCATACTCACTCACTCACTCACTGATTTGTCTGACCACAACTTGCTCCCATGCCACCATGATAAACAAACACATCTTGGTGGTTCGAATGGTTGATTAGGTCGGATCAAACTGAACAGACCACCATTGTATAGCATGGTATGCTTGAGGATTACATTACGTAGTCTGAACACCTGGAATTTGTCTTTGATTCCCTAGTGGCAGATATTTGGTAGTAGCTTGTATCAAATGTGTTTTCTGTGCTCAGAATTAAAAGTAAACATTTAGCTAAATGTGTTTGGTTTATCATGTGTTTGCTCAGAGAGTAATTTTAATGTTTCTTTTTAGGAACTGAGCAAAACCTCTCATCTTATTTGTAATACAACTTACCAGTGCCGTAGGATTATGATAATTTCCTTTTTTGTTTTATCGTGATTATTATGATTGTATCACAGATACGCATCGTTATGATTATGTCATTGTTGTTTTTAATGCTGTTAATTTCCATTACCTACAGGTACATGAACTGTGAATTAGCATGTGTATATGAAGTATATTGCTGATATACATGATGTAAATGTTACCATGATTACCATGAAGAACTAAAGGAATCGTCAAGATCTGGGTTAAAATTGTGCTTTAATATTTTTCTGAAAGATGGAAACTTATTTGTCTTAATTGGTAGCTCCGATACTAGGATGAAACGAATGATATTTTGTACTCATTATTTTGTACTCACCTTTGATGTGAAAACTGACTATGGTGGTATGGTCTCTGAGACCCTCAAAGTTTCTATACTGTGAGAACAGTGAAGATTCAGGTTAGAATTGGTCTTCAGCAACCCATACACCTCATCAGAGGCCACTAACAAGATCGGGTGGTCAGGCTCGCTGACTTGGTTAATGCATGTCATCGTATCCCAATTGCGTGTGGATATGACATGACAGTGAAATTAGAGATAAGTGATTTGAGAAGAAAGACACTTGCTTAACCATGTTAACGTCATGGTTATGTTAATGATATTGGTGAACAGTACGTGATCTACATTACACTATGAGATTAGAGTAGGCTCACCATGTTCATGAAATAATAGTATGTAATATACTCATCTACATTTGATGGGGATATTCTGAGTGTCCAGTTGGGAGATAAATCTGACTGGTTGTTTGGGGATGTCACTTTTGTATATTTTTGCTTGAAATGAAGCTTATCAAGTGTCGGTTCCATGATCATCTTGCATCCTATTCCTCTGCCAACATCTCCCAACAACCTCTCAGATTTATCCCCACTATGGACGCTAAGAATATCCCTACCAAATGTTGAGTAGTATGCAGTGATGTGTCACACATGATAATAGTAGTTAGACCTTGTTGAAATAGATAAGTTGAACCCAGTTGATGAAGATATGTCAGACTGTATGTAACACTGTTATTTTCAGTTGACACTGGAGCGAACATTGAGGGCCCTGATTGTGTTGAGAGGCTGCGTTATTGAGTGGGTGAAGATCAAGGGTTACCATGAAAACTTCCTCGCTGATGATGGCAAGGTGAGCTTTAGGCAGTGTCTAAAATTCAAATTAATCACAGCAAGCCAGCCAGCCAGCCGGCCGGCCGGACTTGCATGTCTAATGATAATAAGTTGCCAGTCCGATTAAAGAGTTGCCAAAATCGAGACAAGGCTCCATTCAGGAATTCAACCAACTCACATCTCAATATCAAAAACCAACCAACAAAAACCAACACCTGGCATATCATGTCCAAAATTCAAACCAAAGCCTTTCTTTCTGCGAGCTGTGATTAGTTGGAGAATATGCTCTTGTAAATGCATCTATCATTACAATGTGACTGTCTGATTGTCTAGTATTTGATGTAAATGTATTACGACCTGCTGAACAAATCAACTCAACTCGAAAGGTTGCGCGGGAATCACGCACGCACGGATACTGTGTAAGCGTTTGGCGTCTCGACGTGCGTGATTCCCGTGCAACCTTTCGAGTTGAGTTGATTGGTTCAACTGTGTCATATGGCCCTGTGATGCAGGGTTAGCATTATGCAGATGGCTGTTTCAATGAATGCTTGTTCCACCCATGACGAACAGGTCTGGTTGTTGATGAAATATAGTGATAGCTAAATAGACAGATTTTTTATTCATGCACTGATTGTCTTTAAATGTAATATCCAGTTATGTATGACTGTTTAATAATCTCATACCAACTTGTGACTGGAGTAGGTCCAATAGTTTTTCAGATATTGTAGTAAACGTCGGTACCTTAAATTACCTTCCAGACTATAGTTCTTTATTTAGAAACCTTTCTCATCTAATGATGATATTATTTGTTGTTTTCATACTACAAAAGATGTTCCTGTAGAGCAAGTTGAGCATACATACGCTCATGTAGCCTCTCCTTTCGATGAACTATTTTATTCTGCGTTTAGGCTGGTTATAGTATGGCTGTCAGTGTAAACATGAAGTCTGAGACGCGGCTATTCGCTGTGCAGAGTTGCATCCCTTGGGCACGCCAGAAACCTATGATTGTGGGTTCTAGGTTTGTCAGCATCATACCCATGCTCTTGGTTTCACCGAAGTGGTATACGTCTGTGACCTGCATAACTTCGGGCTTTCCTCCTACATTAAGTTGACACGCCACCATATAACTGGAATAATGTTAAAAGCGGCGGTAAACCCAATTTACTCACTCATACAGTTTGGCCCTCACTCTATGAAGATTCATCCTCCAATGAACTCACACAGTGTGAAAGTCAGTGTACAGGACTTCATGAGATGAATATATTTCGAGAGCTACTACTAGTAAGACAGCCCAGCCCAGGAAATGACATAACTTTTTCCACTGCAGATTGACATCTGGTCAGCATCTCGGTACCAGGTGTTCCAGAAGGTAAGTGAAACTCCAGCACTTGTCCTTCTATGCCCCTACTATTGACTAATCAGATTCCACCTCTCATATCACATGACTGAAAACATGAGGTGACTAATGGATCATGTGGGCCAGCCTGGTGACTTGGTTTATTGTGTGACAGTGTACCCAGACAGAGTGGGACGTTGCTCAAAATGACACGTTAATTAGAAACACAAGCACAGCACCAACACCAATTCATAAAATGTCAGTTGTACACACAAGTGTTATGATTAAGCCTTTTTGCTATAATGAGGTATGTCATGTATTTTTTGTGATTTTTATGCACATGCTTAAAAGGGCAGGGGATGTTGATGATTTTGTTGTTGTTTTGACGTTTTGATGGTTGATTGGTGAGTTCTGTATGTCACATTGAAGGAATCCACAAAAACTTGCGTCAATTGAGAAAATTGTTTTGCTTTGACAAGTCAGTAAGTGAAGCAGGGGTCTGTGACATTTGGAAAATGAACAAACTTGAGGTTTGTGCAGTGATCAAGTACTTAAGGGCTTAACACCAAAAGTCATACATGAAGATGTGAGTTCAACACTGGGGAAGGATGCCTCTTCCTCCGCTACTGTAGGTGGGCAGCAGAGCTCAGCATGGCAGCGAGGGCCTTTACAGAGACCCCCCTTCTGGAAGACGTGTGACGTCTGCAACACCAAAATTGATCCCTCCAATCTACGATATGGCGATGTTTGTTTGTTTATTTGTTTGTTGTTTAACATCGCACTCAACGTTAATCCAGCTATACAAGAGTGGTTTGTAAATGTATATGATGGCGGTCTGTAAATAATCGAGTCTGGGCCCGACAATTCAGTGATTGACATCATGAGCATAGATTTATGCATTTGGGATATGATGAAGTACATCAACCAAGTCAGCAAGCATGACCACCTGATCCTGTTGGTTGCCTATTAGGACAAGCACTGTCGCATCTAATGGCAAGCATGGGTTGCTGAAGACCTGTCCAAAATGGTGATGATCAATGAACGAATGACTGAGCACCTTATTGCAAGTTCAGTTGGCCTGTCACAGGAGAGAATACATTTCCTTATCACAGATACTTTGGCAATGAAGAAAGTATCAGCTCAATGGGTTCCAAAACTTCTGACACCTGATAAACAAATGTACCTGGCACAACATGTTGCATGACAATCAAGTTCCGTTTGAAGCTGATCAAGGAAGATTCTTGCAATGATTTGTGACTGGATGAAACCTGCTGTGCACCACTTCTAGTCTGACTCCAAACAGCAGTCAAAACAGTGAAAGCTGTTGACTTTAACCACCACCAAGCAAGGCAAAGATTGGCCTATCAAATGGAAAGGTTATGGCCTCCGTGTTCTGGGATGCCAAGAGTGTCAACATGGGGGACCATCTTCCAAAAGGCCAGTCAATAAACAGAGCATATGCGGCACTTATAATGGATGAAAGTATGACTAAGAGATGTGGAAAGCTGAGGAAATGTGCACTCTTCCATCAGGACACCATTACACAAAATCTATACATTCCCATGGCTACAATCCCAGTGTGTGGATTTGAACTCCTTCAGCACCAAAGTTATTCCCTGCTTTGGCTGTGTCAGACTTCCATCTGTTCCCACACATAAAGAAAGCTTTGTCCGGAACCTATTTCAACTTGAATGATGACGACATAGCGGCTTTGGTGAACTTTTTGGGCAGGCAAGAGAAGGACTTCTACGAAACTGGAATACAATTCCACCAACCTTGTTGGCAAAGGTGTATCAATGTTGACGGGGTTATGTTGAAAAATAAATCATCTTGAGGTCAAGTCTTCCTATGAAGAGGCTCAGAACTCATAAATCACCCCTTGTACTTATGAAGTGTTGGCATGCATGACCCACCTCAACAAATAGAATAATGCCACCCGTGAAGATCAGGGGTAGAATAGGTCTTCAGCAACCCATACTTGCCATCAAAGGCGACTATGCTTGTCGTAAGAGGCGACTAACGGGATCGGGTGGTCAGGCTTGCTGGCTTGGTTGATGCATGTCTTCGATCCCACTTGCATGGATCGATGCTTATGATGTCAATCACTGGATTGTCTGGTCCAGACTCCTTTATTTACAGACCGCCGTCACATAGCTGGAATATTGCTGAACAACAAACATAACAAAAATGCAGTTCAGATAACTAGTGTATAAGAATTTAAGTTATTTCATGGTGTGCTGTTGCCACAGTTTCCATGCATTGATTGTGATACATTGTGCTCTGTTTAGATGGACTTTAGTAGGGGATTCCTAGTATCAGGGTGTGCTTGCTGATGGAGTCACTGTGCTTTCCTCTGTTCCAGATAACTGATCATGCAAGTGCAGCATCCCTACACTTCTATCATCCCACCTACACAGAGCTCACCGTCAAGTCACTTGTGGTGGGTGCAGTCAGTGTTGTAGATGTCTTGTCTGTAAGCTACTAATACTTAAAGTGCATACAGTGGTTTTGATCCAGCAAATGGCATTATAACATTATCATGGTTTTATCAACTTTTGACAGAACTTATTATTACCAAGTTTAAAGAATATATTTGGGACATTTTGGATGATGATCTGTCACTGTCCTTGAAAATCATCAGAAAAAAAGATCTGAAAAGCTGGCATAAAATTTTCTTGTCAGTAAACATCAACAACAACAACAACAACAACAATAATTGGATATTTGTAATGCAATGTAGACTATCCCCTCTACTCCCAGCCAATCGGTCAGTGTGCTCTGTCTGAGCTCCCAAGGGAGTATACTACTCAAGCTGCCTGTGAGGCGCTTGACAGTTAACAGTCACAGTGCTGGGTGAACAGTCACATTACTATAGAGTAATATGTTTCCTTCTGTGTGATCATGACATGAGAACAGTCATCACAGGAGGTGCAATTTACTGCGCAGAATTGTTCCATATGCAAGCCAGAATCCTGTGATAATTATTCCTGTGTACATTCCAGATTACCCTCATAATGATTCTTAATGCATTGGCTCCATGACCCTTCTTGTACATTTCCCCAAAGTGGTAAACATCCGACTACAAACTCAGTAATGATATGTTCCTCTTTCCAGCTGTGGCTGCGGGCGTACAACACCCTGTTCTCCGCACCCTGCAACAAGTGTGGCAAACACCTCCAGGGGGCGCTGCCACCAACGTGGCGGGACTTCCGCACACTTGTGCCATACCATGAAGGATGTAAACAATAAACTGATGATACCTGCCCTTATTGTTTGTGTTGTAAGCTGGTTGTAGTTTAATGGCCCAGGTGAAGGTGAAGGGCACAGTCATGGCATCTTTCATCTTCTGTTCCTAGCGACCGTGGGGCAGGGAAGGATCCACTATTGTTGGTTGGAATGCCAGAGTTACCCTGGTAATGTTCAAAGAGGGGTAAACATTCAAGATCCGCATTACTTCAGGTTTTTTTTAATATTAACACGCCATGTATGGAGTGAAATACAGTTTGAAGCATGGTTAAGTAAACCCCACTCTCTCACTGAATTGTTATATGGTTAGTGTCTTTTGTTTTTGGAATGAATTGTCTTGAAATTTTGTCTGTCTCTCTCTCTCTCTGCCCAGGTAGCTTATTCATCTTGAGCTACCGATTTGGCGACCTCACCACCTGCGTAGGTCACTACACTGATGATATATTGTGCTCTCACTTTTCAACTTTAAAAAAAATATCCCTCTCTAATTGACATTATTAATCCTCTTTATCTACTGAACATATCAATGGCATTGCCACATAACTTGTTCTTCATGCCACTGGCAACAACATAGTAAACTTTTGTTTTGAAATTGTTTTAAAGGCCATCACAGCAGTGATCAGACTGACCTACTGACCACTGGAGTGTTAAACCAAAATATTCTGAAAATGTTTCAGATAACAAAAACCAAATGTGTCAACTTGTTGGGCAGTATATAAGTATTATGTTCTTATACAGAATAGCAAGTTTATCACATCCTAACCCCTCAAAATAGTATGTCTTTTGAATCAAGTATAGCCTCTGCACATGTGGTACACTGCTTTTATGATAGCTTTACCACATTTAATTGATTTGAATACCTGATAAAAATAATCAGTCACCACAAAAGTATTAGTAAGGCATTCCATAAATGGTTGTCTGATGTCTGGTTTTGATAACTACTTATAGATTGATTTGAACTCAAAATCTGCTGGTCATCTGGTAACCCCCGAAAAAAACAACCTCAAAAAGCACCAAAAAGGCTTGTGTCTCTTTGTGAAAAGATTAATAGATTTGAAAACATGACTAACTAAAACAGGTAACCAACCAAATCGATCAAAAGTCAAATAGGTCAATGTTGATAGGAGTTCAGAACTCCAGCCCATGTATTTAGTCAGTGCAAGTAAGTGGCTAGGGGACATGGAATGTATGCAAACAAGTTGCAGATTCTTTTTTGTTAAACATTTCTGCATATAAAACACAGACCAGACACAAGCAGGTCTGTACAATATGTTTAAAACAGATATCACAAAGCTGCATCTACCACCTTCTGGACATAACACACTGTAAGCTAGAACAGTAGAACCCAGCTATCCTCAATAACTAATGCAACAAGCCGACACAACAACATCAAACCAACTCAACAACCAATTGCACACTAGTAGCAGGGTGTACCTGTATCTTAACCAAACATGATGTACCACCATGGTACATTTTAAAATCTTTATTTTCCATTGCCGCAAAGTGGAAGGGGGATGTTCTCGAGCTACGTATACAACATGAAGTCTCCATTACAGAGATGAAATGAGAATGGTTTGGTGGCTTCGTGTGTTGGCTTGTCATAACGAAGATTTGGGAGTTATTAGTTTTGATCAAAATACACAATAATAATACAATGTTATTCACAACGGGGACACTGATGGCCCAATCGTTCAAGATGTCGCACTGTGCAGAGTTGCAATCCCTAGGCGTGCAAGAAACGTACAATTTCGGGTTCGAATCCCAGATTCACCTTGATTATGTTTCTAGGTTTGTCTGCAATATATCCACCAAAGTAGTATACATCAAAGATCTGCGCCTCCTCTCCCACTTCAAGCTGACACGCCGTGATATAGCCGAGACCATGAGACTACGTATCAGCTTAATGTGGGAATATGAGATAGCTATGTGATGAATCGCAAAGAACTGAAGAACGAAGCGTGGTTTATTTCACGATAAAACATTGTTCTATGTATGAACGCAATTGCCGAAGGATGGCATTCAAGAGGTGAAGAGATAGGTTTTGAGGGAAAAGGTACAGATAGTCAGACAATTGTGAGAATATCTGGGCAATATCAAACGCCATATTCTGTCTGTTAATCCTTAGATAACATACGAACTATGCCTTGAATAAAACCAATGTAATACATACATGTATATTAATACAGCAAAGGAAATGAGAGATCTATTCTAAGTATTACATACCTATATAACTACACCTTTGATTTTGGCATTTCCCCAAATCTGAGACACGTGCAAATAGTGCTTGCTAAGCGGTTATTTCTACCGTTGACACATGACAATGCGTTAGAATTAATACTGGCAAATCCTATATGATTCAATGGTCTTCAAATATAATTTATATGTGTGCATGACAAACGAAAGTGTACCTTTTAATTTTGTTTTCCGAAATATGAAAGTGCAAATAAACAGTTGACGTGGCCAGTATGTGGATGTATTTCTATTCAAGGGAGATGTGCATCTCATTGGCGACGTGGATCTATTATAGGAAGGTTCACGTGATGAGAGTAGGTATACAACGCAGATATTTGTATATTTCACAGCAGCAATAACATCTACCTCCACACTTTGCGTTTAGCCGTCTCCCGCGGAAGTATCGAAAAGACTTGATGCTTGTGTGGTGAAGGTAATGAAATAGGATCGTGTGTATACTCGTTAATATAACATAAACTAATATAGGAACTAGCGTGTGTTATATATGGGAGTACCACCGATATTAGTGATGTATTCTTAAAGAACAATTGTTGTCACACTGGCATTTGAGAAATATGATCATGTCATTATGTTTTTATTAGACAAATCGTCCTACATTTTCACAGTCGACGTGTGTTAATGCTATGAATGAAGCACGGTCAGTGCGAGTTCATGAGATATGAAACTGGAGTAAAGCCTAAATATGAGTATGGGGTTACAAAGAAATAGCATCAGTTGGATTAAGCTTGAAGGAAGACGGATATGTAGGTTTAGAGATTGAGAGCAAAGCGAAAGCCAAAGATGCAAAACATCGGCATCGTTTTACGTAGAAATTGATGTCCATATTGTTTACGTTGAATTTCATCTCCATTTTGGCTTCCGTAGGAATTGACGTCCATATTGATGTTTAATTGTTTGGTTCAATTAAATGTTCACTGCAATGAAGACTTTTAGTGACAATCACGACACACGTTAAGAGCTAACCAAAGATGTATATTGACGTATACGTCTTAATTTGAACTAACTTCCCTTGGTCGTGCCAAATTATTGATTGATGCAAGCACTTCTTGATTCACCTAACTGCATTGTAAGCTCACATTTCAGTTGCGTATTGTTTCCAAGCTCTAATGCCCTTGAAATTGGAACATTTTTGTTAGCTTGACATGTGTTCGACATGAATTGTTTACTTTAGAGGAACGTATGTTATGCATGAAACGAACACACGTTGAGTCATATGCTATTTATAGAATGGGAAAACCAGTCGCCAGCTGCTAAATGTGACCTCTACCCTTACATCAGCCATATCAGCTGGCTGTCAGTTGAACTTCACATGATGTGTGTACAGTGTTTACGGGCGCCATTCAAGGAAACAATCGATCAACCTCTCAGCGTTTTCAGCAAACACGTAAGTTACTGACTTTGACTGATTTTTGATAAAACTTTGTTGTTAGTTTACAGTGCTTTTCAGTTATTCAGTTATTTTAATATAAAGTGCGTTGAATATTTCCCTGAAAGTTTGAACACTTATTTGTCTTAAATGGTAGCTCCGATACTATGATATAACCAATGCTCTTCTGTACTCATTATTTGTGAGTTTCATACCTTTGATGAGAGAGAGAGAGAGAGAGAGAGAGAGAGAGAGCACAATACATAATCAGTGTAGTGACCTACGCAAGTGGCGAGGTCGCCAAATCGGTTACTCAAGATGTATCCATTAATAGCTGCATGTTTGTCCTGTTCTTGCTTGTGATAGGATAAATTCTCATGTTAGTTATCACAAGAAGGGGTCATTGTTGACTTCTTTTTTATTTCTAAAACATTTACACGGTTTTGCATGTGCATAACGATATATTCATACAAATATGTTATGTCAGCTTGACCAAGCTTATTGAAATACTCTCTATGACAATTCATGATGGTGTATACATTGTTAACTTACACAAATCAGTATTCTCCTGTATAAATTGGACAGTTGCTGGATACTTATTGTTTCTAAAGTTGAAAATGATTGGCAAAATAATGATACGGTTTAAAGGATCATTATCGCCAGCCGAAGCTCGCATTCCCAGAATATATGTATAGTATTTTCTGTTTCATTTGAACACTATCTCCACCTTTTACTGCCCACGTATCCCATTTTATTTACCAAATAGTTTTTGGGTAATGTATTAAGTCAATTTGAAACTGGAACCATTATAGCTTAGTGACGTTCGTGCAACGTAAAGGGATAGAACTGACACTCTTCCTGTTTTCATCTTCAATACCGCGTCCAAGTTCGTACTCCTATTTAGCAACATGTGATTTTTCTCACATACCTTGTTCATTATTATTTTATAGAGGTACCGAGAACCTCATTTAGATTTGTACAAATGATATATGTGAAATGGTTAAAAGGGAGATTGTAGAATAAAGTCAAATTTTGGTAATAGTTTCGAAAGATATGAATTGTCCATTATTGTCTGCAATATCAATAAATCCTTTATTATAGAAGATAACTATATATCCCATAGAAATCTCTTCATAAAGCAGAGTCGATTGTACGATTCCAACTATATCATGACCATGTATTAATGAATCACTATCAAATAGTAATGATACCAGGTGTTCGCGAAAAGATGATCGTATCGATACAAACACATGCAAAGGCAAGCCAATTATTCATCTAAAAATACGGGAACATATGATACAAGTCAAAATAGGAAATGGCATCGGGAACCATTTTTGTCACTGATGCGTCAAATTTATAAATGTCCTCCACATGTCTAACATACAAGTTGTTGAAAGCTTTACTGAAGTCTTGACTGTTGTAACCTTGTTCAAACAACTTCCGAGCAAGAGTCGTAGGACGCCCTTTGAGATCTTGGTAGAAAGAGCATGTATCTCAAACATCAAAGGCTGGAGCGTCTGGAATATTGCTCGACATGAAGGGAAAATTAACTTTTGGAAAGTTGAAGTCATCCCTCTTGCCATACAGTCTTGTGGAGAGTCTTTTGTCACTCTGAATCTTTCTGCATAGATCTAATTATGAAACATAATCAATTTCGTAAACAAGTGTTTTAACCAGCTACTTATTGAAATTCCAAAACAAACATAAAGTAGTTGGTCGTCTATAAACTGTATCAATTCCTTTTCAAAGTCAACAGGTAATATATAGCCTGTTGTCTGATGGGCATCACTATGTTGCAACAGATGATATATTTGTCTTGATTTAATCATGTATCTTCTTGCCCTAAATCCTTTAAATCCTCGTTAATCGGGAGGTTTTACACAAATGTTACCTTTGTGATATTACTTTTGATGAATCCTCACAGTAAACTTATTGGTCGCCAGTTTTTCAGATGTTGTTTTGTTTATTTCCTTTCGGGGTGTTATTCCTGTCTTTGTGATATTGATATATGTCCATTACAATAAGACTCATCTAAGGATATTATTAGGGATTTTCCAAGGTCATTCCAGAAAAAGCTTGATAAATTCATCCGAAAAATATACATGGCTTCTGTTCATTCCTGTTCAACAGCTTGAAGAACCTCGGTGAAGGTCAACTCAATCTTCTAGCTTCTTGGGTCTTTCATCACATAATTTGGAAACATTCTTTTCGTTATGTTTCATTTTGTAGGTCAATTTTGAAATATCGTGTTTTGCGTATAATGTCGTATAATATGCTTTTGCTTCTGTTAGTGTCGCCATGTATACTTTTTGCCCAAATGATTTATGTTCATGTTATACATCTACTGGATCTAATTCATCCTGAGTGTACAGAGCTCCGTCTTATGCTTGTCGGATGTTTACATAATTGTTATTGAATGCACCATTGGAGCAGTTCTGTCTAATACTCCAGTGCCCGTATATAACAACATGGACGCGACCGAGAGATCTTACTGTCGTATCTTAGTTGTCAAAGAATTACACATCGTCTGTATTAGGCCATTAAATGGTTACAGGCTGCTAGTTTGTAATGATTGACATATTAAAACAGTGGATATTTGCTTTCTATTTCTTAAGCATGGAAACATTTCTTTACGTCTAGTTTTATTATTGATACCTCCACAATTTTGTGATATTGTTTTCCGTATGTCATTCATTTATGAATTCACTACTGTATTGTATGATAGTTTCAAATTTCATTGAGATACCTGTGCAATAAACAAATAAATAGTCTCAACCGGTCTCTTACCTCACCTGATAGTGTGTAACATAGCTATTAGTAATGGTAACGTATCTGTTTAAGTAATGACACGTGTGCATTGAAGCGATTGGGTTTATTTCATTTAGATTGTGTAAACGATGGCGACAGCAAAGGCTGATATAAATCCTTGTAGAAACGGAGAAGTACATTGCCAAATAGACTGATTCTTATTTCAGAGAGCTTGTTAATTGTTTATGATTTCTTCTTTAAGTGAACTTTTGTTTACCTTTCTGGCACGTTACTTTTTTTCATTTCATCAAAATAGATACTTGTTCATCATTTTCAAAATTAAGACGTGCATGTTTAAAAGAAAGTTTGAAGGAAAATATGTTTCAAAAGAACGAGTTCATTTTAATATGATATGTTTCAATATATGAATATGTGTTTCTCCCAAGGGTGAGATATCATGTTGAGGTTTCATGTGAAATACTTGTGAATAAGTGTACCGGTGTTTTTTGTCTATAAAGTTATGTAACAGAATTAGTTTGTTATGAACAGAAATCTGATCAGTGACTTCAGTTTTATTCTCTTTATGATTAGTGTTTAACGTAGATGCTAAACGGGGGTCATCATTTATTATACATTATTTTCAAAAATGCATGCACGATGCAACCACTTCCTATCTATTCACCAGTGATGTTAGTCAATCAACTGCCAAAACAGAGCTGTTCATAAAGAAATTCACCTTTTCGGCTTTAAAGCACAACCGTCGTGGAGAATGAACCTTAATGAACCCATGTTTTTTTTGTCTATTATATTTTAATATACGTACTATCTATTTGAATGTTGCAGGTTTTGTTGGCAAATGAATGAAGGGATACATTGAAGAACTTCATGGAACATGATCAGACGTACAAGCGGAGTTCGAATATACCCAGACACCCACAGTACCAAACATACAGCTCACGACTTGATTCATTTGTTGCTTGGCCTATACGATATGTCCCGAAAACACCGGAGCAGTTGGCATCAGCCGGGTTCTTCTACATCGGGTCAGCTGACCGGGTCACGTGTTTCCAGTGCGGGATAACTCTGAGAGACTGGGAGGAAGAACATGACCCTGTGGCCGAACATCAGAGATACTCGGAACACTGTCAGTTTATCAACAGCGTCGATGGTAATCAACTTGGCGTAGTCCAAAGAAGAAACGGTTCTTTCGTAAATTCATCTGCGTCTGGTATTACGGACGTGGAAGACGCCAAGGTCACGTGTAAACCAAATGGGGAGAAGGTTAATAATATAGATTTTTCAACACCGGCACCACCTGGTATCTCCGACATTCGAGAAGCCAACAGTGACCTTCACCTTGGAGGAGGAGCATGCTCACATTCGCGGGGCGTGGATGTTCAAAGCGGGGCTAGAGCAGACGTCAAAAGTACAAGACCGCTGTCCTCTCTTTGTGGGCGACTTGAGGCTCTAGCAGTACAGCAAACTAAGGATGGCTCGGCTGGAAGCGTAACCTCGAAAGATGATTTTGTTCCTGCAACCATCCCTACTAGAAAAGAGAAGATGGGAGTTCAAAGCTCGAAATTGCCAACCACCCATCACGGCCGGATAGGGGAATCAAAGGTTGCTAAATTCCCGAACCAAAAACTGATATCCATGAAGGCTGAAAACAGACGTTTGAAGGAACAGTCTACGTGCAGAAAGTGCAGAATAAATGCTGTATCCATCCTCTTCCTGCCCTGTGGTCATCTCGTCACGTGCTCAGACTGCGCTGACAAGGTCCACGCATGCGTAGTGTGTGGAACAACTATTCTTGGGACAGTAAAAACATTCATAACTTGATTTGCCTCAACAACTCGTTATAATGTGAGAATGGTGGAATCTGTCTCGGCAGATAATCTAGACTCATGTTATCACTGGTTTTTACACGTTTTAATTATTATATATATTATTATCTATTATCTGGAGAGTGCCATTTTGCATGTTTTTATGCTCGTGCTTGGAACAGAAATGGACGAGAGAGAGTGAGAGAGAGAGAGAGAGAGAGAGAGACAGACAGACAGACAGACAGACAGAAGGAGGGGAGGAAGTATATTCTCTAAAACCCTTAGCCTACAAGGGATAATCTCAAACTAGTAGTTCCGCCACAATACATTACACGGTCCTGATAATTCCAATCTACGTATGAACAACATTGTTCTATTTATTGCTGACAGTTCCAGCGACGCGGTCAGTTGAAGTGAAGTTTAGAAATTCCCAACCTAAAACGTTCCGGCATTATTACAATACGAAACCTTTTATGATCAAAACAATCGTTACCGGTGTTCATATTGACATCGCCAGGACATAAATATATATAACATATTGGCTTCGACAGAATATAGGAATATATCACATTGAATCCGCCAGGATATAAAAACATAGCATATGTTGACTTCGTACATTATATCTGTTTGCATTTCATGATTTTTATCTAAGACTATATTTTATTTATTATTTTGTTCATTTATCTTTTAATGTGTCCAGTGACAAATATCCGCACAGATCTTTTACACATTAATGACTATCTTAAAAAAAATCCTCTTTGAACATGCACTGTTATTGTCAATATCTGTGATACCTTCACGTGTGTTTTATTTATGGTTTGGCCTCTTTCTACCTTTTATTGCACGTCATACATGTACATGTTTGTGTTGTATATTTGCTGTGTTTGTGTGCGTTGTTTCCAGAAGGGCATTATATGGTAACGCTTTAGACTTGGGTTCATGGCATTGTTGAAATTACGACCAGTCGTTGTGATAAATATAGTCTTTGACGAACTGCAGAGTAATGCATTTAGTGAATTTGTCTTTCAAGTGAATGACTTTGTGGTTGAATGTGATACTCCTTAATGAACCTGCGCCATGTGGTGACCTTGATTAGGTGCTGGAATGCTGAAAATGTGATAGTGCACGTATTTATGTCAGGTATACTGCATGTTGTTACCTAGTTTGAAATTGGGTGCTAAAACTGACAATTTAATGCATTTTACCCACAGTTTACCATAGCTTAGCTGCTATATGAACGATACTATAAATATCTTATTTTATATCTATGTTGAACATTTCTCCCTCCCTATACAGTGAAACCTCGTTAAGTCAAACCCTCAGACTGGATATATTGATTAAGATGATGATTATGATTGAAGTACATTTAGTATAAATATATGTCATATCTTATAGATAATCCATCTGTATCGTGCTACGGATAACTCGATTATTTTAGTGATCACGAGGCTTTACTGTTCACACATATAGTCTGTTCACACTCGGATCTTTTCTGTAATTTCTATCAAAATAATATATTGATGTTATCACTGAAATAAATGTAATTTAATATCAATGCAAAATTTCTGTTGTGTTTTTATCATAACACGGATGTTGATAGTGATATAGTTAGAAGTCAGGGAAATAACCCATCATTCTACCAACGAGAACATACTCCTTGTGAATTAACATTGGGTATAGCGCCATGCTGGTGTTAATCAATAACCAGCCAATGTATCCGTGTTGGTGCTGACCAACACTAGTCCTATTTAAATACTGCCCTTTATCATCTACTTGATGAACGGCTGGCTATCGGAACATCTTCACAGTAACACTGACACGTGTTGTGTGTGTGTGTGCGTGAGTAACACAGTAACACTGACACGTGTTGTGTGTGTGCGTGAGTAACACAGTAACACTGACACGTGTTGTGTGTGTGTGCGTGAGTAACACAGTAACACTGACACGTGTTGTGTGTGTGCGTGAGTAACACCGTAACACTGACACGTGTTGTGTGTGCGTGCGTGAGTAACACAGTAACACTGACACGTATTGTGTGTGTGTGCGTGAGTAACAGTAACACTGACACGTGTTGTGTGTGTGTGCGTGAGTAACACAGTAACACTGACACGTGTTGTGTGTGCGTGCGTGAGTAACACAGTTACACTGACACGTGTTGTGTGTGTGCTTGAGTAACACAGTAACACTGACACGTATTGTGTGTGTGTGTGCGTGAGTAACACAGTAACACTGACACGTGTTGTGTGTGTGCGTGCTTGAGTAACACAGTAACACTGACACGTGTTGTGTGTGTGCTTGAGTAACACAGTAACACTGACACGTATTGTGTGTGCGTGCGTGAGTAACACAGTAACACTGACACGTGTTGTGTGTGTGCTTGAGTAACACAGTAACACCGACACGTGTTGTGTGTGTGTGCGTGAGTAACACAGTAACACTGACACGTGTTGTGTGTGTGCGTGAGTAACACAGTAACACTGACATGTGTTGTGTGTGCGTGCGTGAGTAACACAGTAACACTGACACGTGTTGTGTGTGTGCTTGAGTAACACAGTAACACTGACACGTGTTGTGTGTGTGCTTGAGTAACACAGTAACACTGACACGTGTTGTGTGTGTGTGTGCGTGAGTAACACAGTAACACTGACACGTGTTGTGTGTGAACGTGAGTAACACAGTAACACTGACACGTGTTGTGTGTGTGTGTGCGTGAGTGACACTGACACGTGTTGTGTGTGTGTGTGCGTGAGTAACACTGACACGTGTTGTGTGTGTGCTTGAGTAACACAGTAACACTGACACATGTTGTGTGTGTGCGTGGGTAACACAGTAACACTGACACGTGTTGTGTGTGTGTGTGCGTGAGTAACACAGTAACACTGACACGTGTTGTGTGTGTGTGCGTGCGTGAGTAACACAGTAACACTGACACGTGCTGTGTGCGCGTGAGTAACACAGTAACACTGACACGTGCTGTGTGTGTGCGTGGGTAACACAGTAACACTGACACGTGCTGTGTGTGCGTGAGTAACACAGTAACACTGACACGTGCTGTGTGTGCGTGAGTAACACAGTTACACTGACACGTGTTGTGTGTGTGTGCGTGAGTAACACAGTAACACTGACACGTGCTGTGTGTGCGTGAGTAACACAGTAACACTGACACGTGCTGTGTGTGTGTGCGTGAGTAACACAGTTACACTGACACGTGTTGTGTAGGTGTGAGTAACACAGTAACACTGACACGTGCTGTGTGTGCGTGAGTAACACAGTTACACTGACACGTGTTGTGTGTGTGTGCGTGAGTAACACAGTAACACTGACACGTGCTGTGTGTGTGTGCGTGAGTAACACAGTAACACTGACACGTGCTGTGTGTGTGCTTGAGTAACACAGTAACACTGACACGTATTGTGTGTGCGTGCGTGAGTAACACAGTAACACTGACACGTGTTGTGTGTGTGCTTGAGTAACACAGTAACACCGACACGTGTTGTGTGTGTGTGCGTGAGTAACACAGTAACACTGACACGTGTTGTGTGTGTGCGTGAGTAACACAGTAACACTGACATGTGTTGTGTGTGCGTGCGTGAGTAACACAGTAACACTGACACGTGTTGTGTGTGTGCTTGAGTAACACAGTAACACTGACACGTGTTGTGTGTGTGCTTGAGTAACACAGTAACACTGACACGTGTTGTGTGTGTGTGTGCGTGAGTAACACAGTAACACTGACACGTGTTGTGTGTGAACGTGAGTAACACAGTAACACTGACACGTGTTGTGTGTGTGTGTGCGTGAGTGACACTGACACGTGTTGTGTGTGTGTGTGCGTGAGTAACACTGACACGTGTTGTGTGTGTGCTTGAGTAACACAGTAACACTGACACATGTTGTGTGTGTGCGTGGGTAACACAGTAACACTGACACGTGTTGTGTGTGTGTGTGCGTGAGTAACACAGTAACACTGACACGTGTTGTGTGTGTGTGCGTGCGTGAGTAACACAGTAACACTGACACGTGCTGTGTGCGCGTGAGTAACACAGTAACACTGACACGTATTGTGTGTGTGTGCGTGGGTAACACAGTAACACTGACACGTGCTGTGTGTGCGTGAGTAACACAGTAACACTGACACGTGCTGTGTGTGCGTGAGTAACACAGTTACACTGACACGTGTTGTGTGTGTGTGCGTGAGTAACACAGTAACACTGACACGTGCTGTGTGTGCGTGAGTAACACAGTAACACTGACACGTGCTGTGTGTGTGTGCGTGAGTAACACAGTTACACTGACACGTGTTGTGTAGGTGTGAGTAACACAGTAACACTGACACGTGCTGTGTGTGCGTGAGTAACACAGTTACACTGACACGTGTTGTGTGTGTGTGCGTGAGTAACACAGTAACACTGACACGTGCTGTGTGTGTGTGCGTGAGTAACACAGTAACACTGACACGTGCTGTGCGCGCGTGAGTAACACAGTAACACTGACAGGCTGTTGTGAGCAGGAACCATACATGAATGTTACTGTAATGTTTACAAGAGAAGCTGAACATATGGGTGGGAGGAGATACTATCACCGAACGTTCGACCGTGAAGATCCGGGTAGAGAATAGGTCTTCCGCGGCCCAGGCTTGCGACTATGCTTGTTAGAGGCGATTAACGGGATCGGGTGGTCAGTCCCGCTGTCTTGGTTGGTACATGTCGTCGTATCTCAATTGCGTAGATCGATGCACATGATGTCAATCGATTATTTACAGACCTCCGTCATATAGCTGTAATATTGCTGAGTGCGGCGTTAAACAACAAACAAACGTCACTTTTTGACGTTTCTGTAGCCATTTGACTTGTCCAGGAAAGACACAAGGTGACACGAATGTTCCTCAATGGTCAATCGTCATGTCATAATGATGAGAGCGTCAATGGTCCTTGTTCTGAATCTCATTTCGTTTCAATCGAGAAAAAAATATATTAGCTGCATATAACTTTCTGTTCCCTTCAACATAGATCTAAAAATAACTTACCGGTAAAACCCAGGCATTTAAACAGGAATCAGCATGTCCTGTCACGGAACTGCTATAAATAGCAATGACGAACGCAAACCTCGATGTGAACATTGTGATGTGTAGGGTCAGTGTGTGTGATCGCCAGGTTTCGCGTTCTCAGTTGCTGGTTCTCTGCAACTGTATTAACGCCCTATCACTTCGTGTAACAATGAACAAGTGTTTTCAACACCCCAACATTAGTATTGGATCCACTCAAAAGGGCAGCTAAAAATTTCATGTTTTATATATATATTTGTTGTTTAACGCCGCACTCAGCATTATTCCAGCTATATGACGGCGGTCTGTAAATAATCAAGTCTTGACGAGACAATCAGGTGATTGACATCATGAGCATCGGTCTACGAAATTGGGATACATTGACAAGCATCAACCAAGTCAGCAAGCCATACGACAAGCATAGTCGCCTTTTGCGACAAGCATGGGTTGCTGGAGGCCATTTATAATCCAGATCATCACGGGGTCTGACCCTATGGCAGACACCCCTCTCAGTGGCTCTCACCCCAGCTATTGTCTGGCATATCAACTCGACGTCATCCGAAACTTTATATTGCGACCCAAACTCTTAACAATAGAAGAAAAAAATCTAAAACATCGGACGCATAACTGGAAATCGAGTGTAAGCATATTATATGTCAATTAACTATGCAAGCCGGGGTATTGTTGTGGTACCGCCAGGTACTACCTTCCTTGTGGACATTTTCACATAGCACTTCACATAATTCCGGTATAAACAGTCTTCGTGGAGGTTGCGGGAAGATGCGAATGATGACGAATGGTGTCAAATCCTCAATAATCCTGGGAAAACACTCTTAGTTCATGTCAGGGTACATGCTCATCCTCAAAGTCACACCCTCAATAAGCTGTGTTTATTCTAAAACTAAAATAGCAGTCACTGTAGGCCACTGGCGCTTCATACTTGTAATTATAAGGGTGAAACCGCCAGATGAAAATCTTTTTCAATGAATAACTTATGAGTTATGAATTCACAATGCCATTTGGAAAGTGGTCAAATGTAACAAATGTTATATTTGGGATAACACTTTCTTTCTAAAGTACTAATTCTCCTACTTTTTGGGATCGAGTCCCGTTAAATGTATGTATGATTGCGACTGTACATGCATGTCTTGAAGTTTATATATAGGTGGTCGCCTCCTTCTTGAGATTATCTGGTTAGACTTGAAATCATTGTTTTAAACTGATTTATTGCCAAAGGATAAGGTAACAGTTTAAAACTTCATGCTTTTGAATTCCCCCATGCCAGACGCTGTTTAATGTGAGTAGGAGTGTTCAGTAACATGTATAAACAATATATGCAGTGTAGAGCTGCAGATTGTACCGTCAGCTTATCCAGAGATACTGAATAATCAGATGGTTTCTACATATCGCGATGAGTATTTACCAAGTGCTGCTTGTATCCAGAGTTAAATGATACTATATGCAGGTATATGCATCCACCTAGGCAATCATACGGAAGAAATGTAAACAATTTTCTGTTTCTTAAAGCTATAATGGATACTCTAGACCAGAACATCAAGATGCAAGGGTATGGATCAATGAACATGTTTGCAATTTGATGGTCAATTATCATCGATTGTGAATATAATAAAACGCAATGATCAACTGGTAAGAAAATTCAGGTTAATGTCTGAAAATACAAGGTCATAAGTACGAAGTCCAAAGAACACATCGTACAAGTAGGATTGAAGAAAGTCTTCAATCTGACAACAGTTCTCACAAGAAGGATTGAAATCAGTACGTGAAAAATACTATCTGCACATATGTTTATTTTTTAAACATAACTTTTAATTAAACACGATTGAACAATAAATAAAGTCTAATATTGTCTTGTTTTATGTACAAGGGATGATTTGTAGGCTCTGAGCCTCACATTGAAAGACTTGACCTAAAGTCATTAAATTGGTTTTTCAACAAACCCCTTCCACGTTGATGCACATTTGCCAAAGATGTTGGAGGCATTTTAATCATGTTTCGTAGAAATCCTTCTCCAGCTAGTTCTTGGGTTCTACGAAAATAACGAAATTCAAAGCAACACCCGTGGAATGTAGCCATGGCAGTGACTGGTTTTTACTGGTTTTTTGTCCTGACGGAAGACCGCATCCCGTAATTGCCTCAAAAGCGCAGCATAATATGCTTCATTAATTTTCTGGCCTTTCGGAAAATATCCCATCATTTCCAGTCTTTACCTTTTTGGTAATGGTGAAGTTAAGTGCTTCCACTCTTTAATTGTTGTTTGGACTCAAGTCACAAATCATTACAAGAACCTTTCCGGATCTGCTTCAAACAGAGCCAGATGAGTGTAACTTCAATTGGTGTCATGTGTGACAACAAGATAATGAGGTCAGTGTAATTGGTGCCCTGTGTGACACTGAGGGTCTGTGACAGTGTAATTAGTGCCACTGTCAGAATGCTGTGTCAGTGTAATTGGTGCCCTACTGAGGGTCTGTGTCAGTGTAAATAGTATCCTTGGTGACATTGACACTCCGTGTCAGTGTAATTAGCGTCACCAACAGAATGTTGTGTCAGTGTTATTAGCGTTCTGTGTAACACTTAGACTTGTCAGTGTAAATAGTACCATTGGTGTCGGTGTAATTAGTGCCCTGTGTGACACTGAGAGAACATCCGTGTCCTGTGTTTCCCCTGTAGGTTGACATTTCTGAGCTATTTATATGCAGTTCGTGTCAGCATGGCTCATGATAGAAGTAGGCAGGATGGGGATTACCCTTTCCATCATGGCCTCCAAGTTGGGAAGTTGTAATTCATAGTCACTGAGATGCGTAAATGCATTTTGCATTAGCTCTATACTTTGTCGTTCCACTGTTTGTTTGAAGCTACACTCAGCAATATTTATTAGGGCGGCCTTTAAATAATCAAGTCTGGACCAGACAAACTAGTGATTGAAAGCATGAACAACGACCTAAGCCGTAGAGGTACGATGGCACGCCATCCCAAAGCATGACTGCCTGCGATCTATTAAGTCGCCTCTTACGACATCCACAGGGTGCTTCGACTTCTTCTAAACGGGTTATCATTGGCGTATATCGCTGGGTAATGTACATCGAGAACATTACTCCCGTTCGTTGATCGTATAAGTTATCGGGCCTCCCTATCCTACCTTGACCTCAGGAATTCGGAGTTGAGTAGGTGGCGTTTTAGGAAATTTATATGCAACTTCGTTTGATTTCCCGAAACTGGCTTAAAACAAGGTTAAAGAAGTGTTCAACACAAATAATCCCGAATTACCGAAATGAATAAACATTTAGTGTGTTTTGTTTGACCATGTGGTTACTTCAAGACAACTTCAAAGAATTTTTGGAAATATCTTTTATTGAAACTGATTCGTTATGGCCTGGTCTGATTTCAGATATTAAGGCCTCTGACTGGATATTCATTGGCCTTTCCTCAGTGACAGAGCGATTGCAGCTACCCGGCCTTTGTCCTGAGCAAAGGTCATCCTGACAGCATTGGCATTCTTCTTGAGAATTGTAGTTGGAACATGATACTCTATTGTTGCCCAGAGACTATCGGTGTCATTGTTGCTCGGGTTGTGTAGTATGTAGAACGAGTGCAGCGTGATTCCATTAATAGTAATTGAAGCCGGGATAAAGTTGGCAGCATGATCTATAAAACTTACTGAAATGCGAAGTTTAGCTACCATAATGTGGTGAAGATCATTGCTGTTGAGCACGATGTTCATGTGAGCTGTTTTCTTTGAGCTGTCAATTGTAACCAACATGTTGTCTCCATAATGCACACTTTCGTACACCGAGGGAACGTGAGTGAACGTGTAGCCTGTGGGAAACTGTAGGAAGCATGTGGCTTCTGGAGGGACAGTCACCTGACTTCTGTGGACATGAATAGGTACTTCCTTATCCAGTTGAGTGGCCTTTCTGTTGTTGAGATACAAACAGGTTGATGTCCCTTGGGTCAAGGTTACCCATCCTTTGTCAAAGGCTAGCTTGACATCAGCTTGAACTGTGTCATAGTTGTGTAGCAGAATGGTAAGCATGTTGGTAGTTGGCTCCACAAGGACATGGCTCTGTATTTGCCGCTCAGCTTGGTGGAACTGACTCTCGGCTCTGAGAAACTTCATAGTGCTGGTGAGGTTCTCCCACAGATGGAAGGCCAGAGCGATGTCTCTCTCGTTGTTATGTTTGTCCAGGATGCTGTAGTTGATGCTTTCTTGGCCTTTCCGATCGGTGTAGTTGAGAAGGAAGGACACGGCTCTCTGAACCACGTATCGAAGCTCAAGAAAGGTGAATATATTCGAATTGTGAAGGTTGATGTAGGCCCAGTCCAGAAAGGTCGATGGTTTCTGAACATCGATGCCTGTGACTTCTGCTAAACCATGAGCTGAGAATATGATTGGAATGTCTTTCCCTGTCATCATATGAGCATATGTTTCCACCATGTCCACGGTTCCAACCAGCCTAGCTTCATTCGGGCCCCAGAAGTGATGCCTGTTCCCCTGAACGACGAAGTGATTGAAAGGATGGAATGAAAAAAAGTCCAGTAGGCCAAGAGACATGTTCATGAATTGTGTCATCATGCTCCATTGACGAAAGTCCTGTTTGTCCATTGTAGTTATTCCACCAGTAAAGGCAGGTCCACCTATTTGTAATTTGGGGTATATGGCTTTTACCTTCTTGGCAACGAGCTCGAATACATTCACTACAGTTGTCCAATTGACATCCAGCTTCCACAGTGTGTTTGGCTCATTGATTGGTTCAAAATACGGAGGGTCGGTGCCGTTTGTACCGTTGTGTATGGCCTGGACGAACAGAGATATGGTTTCTGCTGCAGCATCAAGATTGCTTGGAAAATGCCCTTTATGTGCAGATGTGTCCATCCAATAGGGCCATTGGTAACCTGTGGAAGAGATATCTTTAAAGTATATGTCATGAAATTCATTAGCTGAGATACTGTTGAAAATCAACTCGCATGTAGTTGAGAAAGCCATGATCAATTGTGAAGCACATTTCAAAACTTGATGCATCAGTGACCAAAATGATGTCCGATGCAATTTGTGACAATAATCCTGTATTTTGGCTTCCGTCATACCATAAAGTCTTTTTGTTAATGTGATGCTGGTAAAAGCACCACATTAACAGAAAGCACAGCTATATTCAGCTCTCTTCATTCGTGGTAAATGAGTCAAGACCCATCTCAGGATTTACAAACATTTACACCAGTTGTGTGTGCAAAGTAGTTTCAAAACCATTTTGTACAAGGAATGTCAACCTTGAGATATGCAAGTTTCCTTTACCCACCTTTCAGTTCAAGCATAATTGGTCTGTGTTTTCCATATCTATTCAAATTATCGAGATATTTCTCAACCAGATTGTGTTGTAGCTGCTTGTTTTGGAAGAAGGTGGGATCGGGGTACCCCTTTCGTTTTGGATCCTCCGTCACCTAGGAGAAACTTTAACTTTAACAGTTTGAATAAATACCTCGGACGAAACGAAAGCGAAATAATGATATGGTAAATTCAGTGTAGGTCTACACCCTTTGATGGAAAGATTCACGCTATGATTTTTACAACTTTTGCAAATTGGAAAGTAAATATACCTGTAAAAAAACAGAGAAATAATATTACTGAGTCATCACTGTTAACTGGTTCCTACCAGGGACTGAATACATCCTTGATATAGCTGAAAAAACGTACCTTGTCAAAATAGCCTAAATCTGCATTGAGCCATCTTCCAGTGCGAGCTCCAGTTTTCTTCACGTAGGGTAAAATACTGGGGTTATCCAGCCCCATTTTACCATTCCACCTGTCAGGGTCGAAGTTGGTTCTTCCTCCCTGTACTAGGTACTCTGGGTAAATGGTCACTGTGTATCCCAACACGCATGACAGGGAACAGAGTGCAAGCACAGTGGATAGCAACATGTTCACCCAGCTGGAAGTCCTACCTTCGTGTGTCAGTATCGTGTTATGTCTGGAAGTTCTACCTTCGTGTGTCAGTATCGTGTTATGTCCTGTTTGTATGGGGCTGGTGTTCCGTCCCACCTGGGCTGACGTTGAGCCTTATATGCTTCAAAACATCTGCATTTTTGCGATAAGACATTCACTTGATTTAGATATACAACTGAACCATAGACGGCGTTCCATGGGCTTGTCAAAGCCATATGATTCTAAGAATGTAGTTCCCAGACGATAGGGAGATATCTTCCATTACATAATGTAAATGTTATTATAGGTGTAAGGTTTGAATTTCACTGGGAAGATATAAATACCGAACTGGCACTGCACCTGGAAAGAATCTTGTACCAGAAAGTATGGGAGACTTACTGTGCAACTTCCCACAAAGTCCATTATGATTCCAGTATTGAAGTAACAGCCAAACACAAAAATCCATAATCATAAGAAATCTCTTATAACGTCTACGTCCGACTATATTATGAGCTTGTGTTTATGAGTCACTATCAAATAGTGATGATACCAGGTCTTCTCGACAAGGTGAACATGTCCTGCCCCACTGGTGAATAAATAAGGAAGCTGTCTTCCCCACTATTGCTTGATAGCAACTCGTTCATTAGATTAAATATAAGATATATATATAAGGTGTTGGTTACGGACATAATGGTATTATGTTTAACACTGTATGATTGTTTTTTGTATGCTGAAAAATAAAATGGCAAGAATTCTGACAAAATGAGCGTGTCCTCGTGCAGGTGCGTCTCATGAAGCATCATTTTGTTTGACAGTGCAATTGATGAATTGTTTGGTACAATTGATCTTGATAAGGCATTAACGCTCGGGTAGCGTTCCATGGGCTTGCTAAAATGTAGAAATGTTCTTCTCTGGCGATGCCAAGGATACACGTTCCGTTACGTGGCATTAACATGTGCAAGGTCAAAATTGCACTGGTTCTTAAGGATACAACATATACACATGCACACAAGTTAAGCGCCACCCACAATATTTGTGAGCTGTTACTTTTGGCACTTAATGATGACTATTATAACGAGATGTACGATTGTTATAAGCCGTATATGTAAACCTCATGTGATGCAAAAGTTGTCCCAAAGCAAGTTTATCTTGTGTACCAAAAGAACATGAGCAGAAAGGAATTTTACCGAAGACCAGAAATTGAAGGATTAGAAAACATTGAAAAACCTTTTTCATGTAACTGTCATGATATCAGCAGACCACATCAGGTGTCACATAGACACACCCTAGGGACTGCAGAGTCTATTGCAAGACAGAAACGTCAGTAACTTGTATATGATCCACGGACATTGACCACAGCTTCAACCCTACGCCTCATACTCATTACAAGTCGTTAAATGCTTCTCTGAGGCAAACGGATCCATTCTTCATGTAGTACAGCTTCAAGTCAGGCGAGATTTTGACCTGGGGGATCACGATGTTTGATTTTCCGGCCAAGAATGTCCCAGATATGCCCAATCGGATTAAGATCCGGACTACAGGCCGGCCAAGGAAGAGTGGCAATAGCTTCTTGACGCAAATAAGCCAAAACTGTCCGAGATCTGTGTGGTCTAGCATTGTCGTCCATTTAAACAGGTCTTGTCTGAAGAGGATGGCTGTCAAAATTGAGGGAGTACCACTGGACGAAGAACGGCATCTTGGTATTGTTGGCCATTCAGGTTTCCACGAATTGTCACCAGCGGAAGTTTGCAGCCGAAGGAAACAAAACCCCATATCATGACAGACCCTCCGCCACATGCTAATGTCTTCTGGATGTTCCTTGGTGCAAAACGAGTGTTACCTTGCCTCCAAACACGTATTCGACCATCAACAGTTCGTAGCAGCATTCGACACTCGTCAGACCAATGGATCCTTCTCCAGTGGGCCAAGTTCCATCAACTACGGACACGACACCATAACAGACGATTCCGTATGTGCCTCTCAGTCAGTTGAGGACGTTTTACTGGTCTTCTGGCGTTATAACCAGCCACTCTGAGGCGACGCCTTATTGTCATCGTCGAGAGTCCCTGATGGGTAATCAGTCTTAAATCTGTTGAAGTGGCAAATTGATTTCATCTGACTATCCTGAAAAGACGTCTATCCTCTCTGTTAGAGGTCTTTCTTGGCCTACCAGACCTATGCCTGTCATTGACATCATTCGTTTGACCATGTTTGACAATCAAACGAGTGATAACACTGTGATGACGACCCATTTGTGTTGCAATGGCCCTGCATGACATGCCAGCATTTTTCATGCCTACCACTTGCCATCTTCCAGTGTTTGTTAACTTTCTCATCACCATGGCTGATTTTTAACCTCTATTGGAAGGGGAATCTGAAACTTGAATTTCACTATTTATTGGGTAGGGGAACTGCAGCAACACGTAAAGCACGCTTTCCTTGTGGTATCTGGACAAATTTGGGTTCATGAAACTATGGAAGCCTAATTCAGTCATACATCATCATATTTCGTATTTCTGATTCCCACACGTGAAATCAAGAGACTATGAATATGGTGGCGCTTAACTTTTGTGCATGTGTACATGTTTACCTGTAAAGGGGAGGCTATGTTGTTTGGTTTGTTTGTCGTTTAACGCCACCAACAGCAAAATCCGAGCTACAAGACGCTGGTCTGTAAATAATGGAGTCTGGATCAGACAATTCAGTCACTGACATCATGATACATCGATGTTCGCCATTGGGTTGGTTGGTTTGTTGTTTAACGCCACACTCAGCAATATTCCAGCTATATGACGGCGGTCTGTAAATAATCGAGTCTGGACCAGACAATCCAGTGATTAATATCATAAGCATCGATCCACGCAATTGGGATCAATGCCATGCATCAGCCAAGTCAGCGAGCCTGACCACCCGATCCCGTTAGTCGCCTTTTACGACAAGCATAGTCGCCTTTTACGGCAAGCATGGGTTGCTGAAGACCTATTCTACCCCGGAATCTTCACGGGTCCATCATCCACAATCTTAGTAACTGAAGAGTACATTTCTCCAGCGGTTGTGAGTACAAACATGTCAAGCTGACCAGTTTTCTGTTAATCTGCTTTTCCTACACGAGGAGAGGGGCGGTCGGGTAGCCTAGTGGTTAAAGCGTTCGCTCGTCACGCCGAAGACCCGGGTTCGATTCCCGACATGGGTTCAATGTGTGAAGCCCATTTCTGGTGTCCCCTGCCGTGATATTGCTGGAATATTGCTAAAAGCGGCGTAAAACCATACTCACTCACTCACTCACTCACTACACGAGGAGAAGAAAATGTGCAAAAAACACACAAAAATGTTGTTTAGTACTGCGATTTGCTTTGTTCTGTTTTGAAGTCACCTGCATCTGTACTGTTTTAGTGAACGGGGAGAAAATTGAACATTCTTCCAAATTTTGAATTTGAAATGTGACGTAAACCCATCTCAGTTCTCTTTTATAAAGCCAAAAGAGAAAAAAGAAAAAAAGGCTTCACCAAAAAAACCGCTTCACACTCCATTATTATCAAAGGGTCCGCCGAATATTACCAGCTGGGCGTTACTGAAGCCTTAAACTACAAACAACAAACGGAATTCACAATTTCACTCTGAATCAAGACAACTAGAGGCTAATATTTTGCAAGCTGACAATTGTCAATAAGTTCTTGCCTTTAATTACGTTTGCTAAACCTCTATTAAGAATCTTGCAATTCCATTGGTTAATCTGTACCACGTGACGAAACAATACACAAAATCACGTGACTGACACTGACCTCGACATTCGTCACCACTCGCCCCTTTCCGTAACCTGCAAGAAGACTCGTCCCCCTATCGATGAATGTTATGTGCGAAAATACGACAAACCAATCAGAATGCGCGCATGATTTCGAGTTCTTTGTCAAATAATCCCTCAGAAATATATTTTTATTTTACATATGTCTTGCACCTAAAAATATACCCAAGACACAGTTAAATGTGTTCAACCATACTGTATAATTCCGCACGTCCCGATGTGCTTTAAATTGCATCTGAAATATATATAATATATGTGGAAATATATGTGAACCATTACGCAACGAGTTGACAATTGTTTTAGGTATGCCCACTTGCGCTAAGACGGAACCCAGTCGCAAAAATGGCCATGAGAGGAGCACGAGTCGCTATTCGGCTTGTCCCGGAATAACACGAGTTGCTCACGAATGTGACCTCGAATACTTCCTCCTAATATGAACACAAATGACCTGTCACGTGATAAATATAATGCCTCGTCTGCCAGAAAACAAGATGGCATCTGGTACTAGAATTTCACGGTTCGCAGTTAGGTCACTGTAATGAAACATAGGACAGTTTAAAGGCTTCAAAACATTCAAGTGAATTTCGATTTTCCATGATTACGCTTGACGAGGTCCATATGCGAAAACAAGGACCCTCGGATCCGGTCACACCGACTCAGGGCTCGGGTCCTCGGGTCCTTGTTTTCGCATATGGACCTCGTCATGACTAAATAGTTGTAAAATGTTTAATCATGTTATACACCTTTATATGTAACATGTAACTCAGACACAACTATGTATTTCTTCTACTTCTGTTCAAGCTAAATTGGGGGGCACGGGTGGCCAAGTCGTCTAAGGCGCCGCGATTCGCTGTGCAGAGTTGCGCTCCTTGGACACGCCAGAAACCTATGATTGTGGGTTCGAATCCCGGTTCGCCCCGATTATGTTTCTAGGTTTGTCAGCACCATACCCGTGCTCGTGGGTTTCACCGAAGTGGTAAACGTCTGAGACCTGCATCACTTCGGGCTTTCCTCCCACATTAAGCTGACACGCCGTGATATAACTGGAAATACTGTTAAAAGCGGCGTTAAACCCAACTCACTCACTCACTCACTCAAGCTAAATTGACGTTACGTTGAATTACTGGAATTCCAACAAACCATTGTCAGGCCCGAAGGAACAGGGGGCACGCACGCACGCAATCACATACAATCACACACACTCACTCACTCACACATACACGCACGCACGCACGCACGCACGCACGCACGCACGCACGCACGCACGCAATCACATGCAATAACACACGCGCGCGCACGCACACACCCGCACGCAGTCACGCACACTCCTTTATATTTGTACATCA